TCATTGTATAAAATGATACAGTGATATTCGTGTGTCACTATGCTCGCTCAAAAAATAAATTACAACCAATTCCCGTGTCGCTACGGACCATTCGTCCTACGACATGATGGGAACCGGAGGAACCATAAAGCATGCGACTCACCGATCCTTGACTTGCCCCACTGCACTCGTAACGCATTTTAAAGATTGACCCATGGTTGACCCATAACTGATTAGTGGCTCATCATAGAAGTAGTACCCTCACTTTGTCCAAAGCACCCTTCTGAAACCCAAAAAATCACGATCCTTGAACGATATACATTTTTTTAAAATAACGTATTTAAATTTATTCATGCAAACATGCAATAAACAAATATTTATAACTTTGCAAGTATCCCCTTACACATGCAAATTTAAATATACGCATGCAAAATAACACGAGAATAACCACACCATAAAACACATTAATAAATCCATAAATAAATGTCAAAACACATAGGGACCCGCACCATAAAACACCATAAAACCCCATTAAATATTTGCAAACACGTAAATAATCACACCATAAAACACGCTAATATATCCGTATGTGCATGCTTAATCACACAAGGGAACCCACTAATACACATGTAGATACATGGGGTACTACATAAAACGTGTTAAAAAATCCCCATAGGTATGCACAAGCACATAATAAAAAGCACTAAGCACAAGCACTGTCACTTTAAGTAATCCATAAATGAACACATGCTCCAATAATCCAACTGTAGATCGTACCTGCATATGTATGACAGGTAGATGTACATTCTTCGGCGGTCGCGATAAGACTGAGGAGCTCTCACCTCGCTCGAGGTCGAACGGATGACAACAGAATATAACGGCGCGCGATCAACCGTGACGTTCCGCTTCACCGCCGCCGCGGTGTATATTTCATTTAAATTTATTTCATTATAATTTGTTATATTATAATTGTTTATTAACTAAATTATTATTACATTTATTCAAATTTTTTATCTTTCTACATTTTCGCGTAGATATATTGCAAAATTTTGTTTAATTATTTTATTAACATTTTTTTAATTAAGGTTTTTAATTTTACCATTGTTTATTAACAAAATTATTGTTATAACTTTTGTGATTTATTATTTTTATTACCTTTACGCGTAGATAACTTGCATAATTTTATTTAACTATTATTATTACAATGTATTTCACTATAATTTGGAATTTTCTAATTATTTATTAAATAAATTATTTCTTAACTGAAATTTGTTATTTTCATAACTTTTACGTGTAATTATTCTGCTAATTTGTATTAATTATTTATCTTTCATACGATATTGAAAAGTGATTATTGTATTTTAATATGAGTTTAATTTTTATAATTTATTACAGATCAAACAGATATTGAATGTTATACATGCAATAGTAAAAGTCACAATTTTTACAGTTTACTCCTTGATTTTTAAGGTTTTAAGAAATTACTAATGCACATGAAGTGAGTACAAGTTTGTCAAACAATTATTTTAATGACTTTTCGGTCTTGTGCTCTCTCTAACTGATTTCTAAGAAATCAGAATTGCGACTTTTTAGTGGTCAATATCTACAGATCTATGCATGCCCCTGCGAAATGTGATCGAAAAGACACGACTGTCATACCGACTATGCTGTGTAGATGCAAACCTCATCTCACCATGGGGTGTCCGGGACCCTAAAAATCACGACCCCTCGGTAAAAAAGGCATGTCCCTGGTTCGTTAGTTATGTCGATCACGATCAGATGACGCCATCAATGCTGTTCTCATACGGAAGGGTTGAACATTTTTTCACCTCATTAAGATATTATTAAAAAAAATCATATAACTCAAGCAAGAATGAATCAAAAGAATCTTACTTTACATGTATAACTAGAACCTTTCGTCTGATTGAAAGGATTAATAATTAATTAATTACCAGTTCAACAAATCATTAGTACAGTTCATTTCAATTAAATTTGCAACATGATCAATCAAAAAAAAAGATAAAGGATTTTTTTCTATGAAAACGTTCGCCACCTTAAAAACTTAAATATAAACGTATCGTGCAGCTAAAGAGTGCATAAGAGTAAACAAAAAGAAGGGTCGACCCAAGTATCGGCGTTGTTTGATTAAATGAAATTAATGCCCATGGGGCAGCGGTTCGAGTGGCAAGCAGAAACTAAAAGTAAGCTCGTGTCGCGTGTGTCGAACGCTGCCCCTTTTTAACTTTCCCATCCGGTTTTTCTGTGAACCCCCGTATCCACTTCGACCGACCGAACCCTTCCACGTGTTTTCAAAACCCGTGATACCTCTTTCGAACGCGAAAAAACCCTTCGATCGTATTAAGCGGATTTCGTTCGATCACGAACAAACAAATCGGTTGGGCGAACGCGTTTCGTTGTGTACCATCGCCATTGTGCAATCGTGATATTGAAGAATGGGACTACCTTGGGAAGAGTTTTGATTTATAACGAGTTAGGGCCTAGGTCATGAAATAGTGGCTTTATTCTCATAGAAAAACAATTTTTATCTTTTCATTCTTTTGGTAATTTGTAAATTTCAAACTTGGGAGGTTGGGAACTTGAGAAATTACAAAAATTGAAATCTGGAAAATTGAAAATTACAAAATTTGGAACTTGAGAAGTTCGGAAATTGCAAAAATTGAAATTTGAGAAATTGAGAATTACGAAAATTGGAATTTGGCAAATTGGAAAATTGAAAAATTCAGAAATTAATTGGAAATTTGAAAATTTTTCGATAGAAAAATGATTTTAGCAAGAGAATACCGTCGAAGATGATTGTGTTTCAAAATCTGGAGCACAAATGTGACCTACCCGATAGCTTTGCCCTTATTCCATCGTTCTGATCACAGGTAGGAGATCTTTTACCGATTTACGAGTTAGATGCTGAGCTCGTAGGATCATCGAGTCCCTCACGATGGGCGGTCGTGTTTTTCCTTGCATTCACCAGGATCGACCACACCATCTACCTGCGTTTATAATCCGAAAGCATTCGCGAGAGCACGCACCAACGCTTGAAACATTAAAAAGATACTGTATCGACACCTTTGAAGAACACGCGAGAAAGGTTTCAGTATGGTTCTTCCTTTTACAACCGCCCTGCTTAGCGGATTTCCGGTGGGCCTATGAATTTAATGACGCGCATCAGTAAAACTCCACTGGCGAACCACGTATAGTTAAACTTGGAACCAGTGAAATAATGATAATTTAACTTGAATCAATTCTTTCTGAAATAATCCATTCCTTCAATTTTAAAAAAGACACCCAGTATACATTCTACATCAAGATGATACTAAATAATGTTATTCTATATATTCTCTTCCTGTCTCATTCGATTAATTTTCTTTTTCTGTCAGTTTCTTTATTTACTTCTTCTTATTTTTTATTTACCATCTAAATTCACATGCACCATTACTCCTTTTTTTAGGTCGATGAATATTTTGATTCAAGCTGGTAGAGAAGGCCGGTCTGCTGAATAAATCATGCAACCACAGCTTTAAACTTGAACGTATGGACTGAATTGCGTGAGTTTGTCACGTGAATGAGTTGAGACGAATATCGCTGACAGTACACGATTGATTTACGTCCACCGGTTTACGTGCAGAGTAATTTCGGCATAGCGAATTGCATAAGTAGCCATGTGCTTCTTTCTGCAGGACTTGCAACTTTTACCGACGTTACATTTCAATTCCTATATTGTCAATTTACATCAATGAGAAATATTAATAATTGTCAATTTTTACGACCTTTTCCACCATAATGTTTAAAACATTTAAAAGTGTTAAAATTGCCTAATTATATTACAAGAAATTAACTCTAAACATAAACGAATGATATGTATGTACCTACCAAACAACCACAATGAGATCGGTAACAATCAATCTTGATGCAAAAAAATGCACAGGTGCAACCGAGATGTTCCTACACCGACAAATTTCAACGGGGCCGATAATATTTATCGCCTGATTCCAGTCGGCAGATTACATTATTTCGATGCTTAATGCGTTACGCCTCTGTCCGTTCAGTGGATCGAAGGGTTTCGTGTATGCGGTAGCAGAGACGACACAAAATATTCGGTAGGGTTTGCCGAGATCTCTGCGCTAAATGTGCTGAAATAAAGCAATCTCCACGATCAGACAACGACAATGCGGCGGCATTTGTCTTTTATCCTCCCCTTCCATTTCCCGATTTCACTGTCCCCAACCCCTTCGAGTATTTTGACGACAGTGGCCACTGGTCACTGCCGGCGGGTCCAACTTCCTCTTCTTTGTCAAGGCGAACCCTGCTGACAAGGCGAAGGTGGTAGTCCGCCGGAGAATTAATTGCTTCAAACAATATTTACGTTCTCTCGTCTATGAGATTCCTTCCTTTCTTTCAGCTTCATTTTTTATTCTTTATTTTCTTACGGGTAACCGATTCACCGTCTCTGAAACGGAAAGGAAGATGTCGCGAGATTTTTATCGATTCGAAAAGATTCTCGTGTCTTACCTTCTTCAAGGGAATTCGCGATGGGAACGTAGAATCTTTGCCACGCGACTGCCATTGGAATGTTTTTGCCACCTAATTAAATTGTTTAGTGACCGAAGCTGCCATAATTGTTCCTAGTCATTTAAAAAATTTTAGTAAGAAAATTTAACTGAATTCAATATTTAATAAATAAAATTATAATATGTAAAGGTTAAAAAGGATACGTTTGTTTAGAAGCTTCTCAAGGTTCTTCCGAGTTAGGGTGTTTTTCAACAAACTACTGCATCCCCCTACGTTTTGTGTAAAGAATAAGGGTTGTTTGTTCGCTCATATTCGATAAATATTGCACAACCGTGGCTAACACCGTGATGCTGTAAGTTTAATATTTACTGTAACTATACAGCGCTAATCACGAGAGAATGGAAGCAAAATTTTCTTCTTTTCTTGTCAATGATCATGCTAATCATAGCTTGTGTAGGTACCTTAAAAAATTCTGGACAGAGTTTATTTTGGCATCGATGTTTTATGTTTTATACAGAAATGTACCCAGTATTTGTTTATCCTTAGTTTTTGCTATAATCTTTTCTTTAGTTACAAGAAAGTATTTTAATTAACAATATGCTAGTAATGAAGGAATCCCTCAAAAACTAAAATGATTCTAGATATTCATATTTATAATTTAATTCATTTGTAAAGAGTAATAAAAGGTAACAACTTAACCGAAATTGTCATACATACTTCCTTATACCTAAATTTAATGTTATTGTGTAATATATGCTTTATGAAAGTTTTATGAAGTAATTATACAGACATAATTCAAGGCTAACACTGCTCGTATGCCATCTGCACAAAAATTTAACACACTTCATAATTATTACTCTTTAATTACTTTCACGTACACATATCTTCAAAAAAATTAAACAAAAAGATTTTTTTAATTTTTTTATTTCACCTGAGCATTTCTTGAAGGAATGTCATTATCTACACGTTCGAATGGAGAACCTACAGATTTAATTTCGACAAGTTCAAATTTGATCCTACCATGCTATTTAAGGGTTAAACATTATTTCGCGAAGGGTGAATTTGGTATTCTTGAAGATTGTAACGATCTAATTAAATTTCTCTTAATGAAAGAAAGTGTGATTCAGTGGCAATAATGAATAATCGAAGGAGGAACGAGAAAGAGAAAGAAAGAAGAGTCATCGTCGAAGAAAGGAGGCTGCAGGTTCTCAAATTGCAATGAAACCGGGCACCGACGCGTCGCGTGGGTTTCGTATGACGACCAGACCACCGATGACGATGCTGTTTTTCTTTCGCCCCGAATATACTTCATCCCTTATGATCTAACTTTGCATTTGACAGGTCACCGATCAACATGACGCAACCAATTACAAGGTAATTTCATTCGAAATGCTCAAGCAGAAATCATTAAAAGAAGAGAACACAAAATATTTGTATCAACAGTTTTGCAATACAATATTGGAAACGGGAAGGATAAACAATGAAGAGTTTATAAAATAATTATATTTCTCAACACATATTTCAGTCTCAAAGAAGAGCGCATTAATAAATTATAGGTACCTGACTTGCTTCACCTTATAATACAATCCTAAATTTTAAAAAACTTACTAATTAAAATACTACTATTTTACAAAATTTACAATCTTCCTATTATTTACAAGAATTTCTTAAAACTGTCTCTGTATGATCACCATCACATACGATAAATACAAAAGAAGAAGAAAAAGAAGCTAATGTTTTAATTGAAAGCATATTTTTGTTGAAACGAAATTCTATAACTATAGCTTATGAAACTGTCCATTCGTCACAATAAACGATAAACAATATCAATCTGAGAATCACAAAAGAACCTAATACCTCAATTTTTCATTAATTTCATTAACACAGTTCGGAATATCTTAAAAATATATTTTCACGTGGGAAAATAATTCATTCTCATTGCAACAAATCGTACAGAGCTGTGATATAAGACTGTGCCATTTGGAGAGTTTCGTATTTGGACAATTGTCTATCGTTGCCCAAAGATGGAAGATAAGCCCTCAGTCTGTCGAAGGCTTTATTCAAATTCTGCATTCGTCTTCTTTCCCTTGCGTTCGCCGCCAGTCTGCGTTTCCTAACGATCGTCGAGTTCACGTATTTACCTCTTCTTCTAACACCACTGCCTCCGTTTCCGGATCCCACGTGATCTGGACTGTCGCTCATCTCAGCCTCGTCTTCGCTATCAGCGTCCACGATTCTATCTGAGAAACTACTAGAATTGCTGATCACACTACCTCGACACGATTGTGCCTTCTCGTGATCCGTTTCGATCTCGACATCCCCGGTTCCATCGGTGTCTGCGTCCATACTATTTACTTCCTCCGTTAGATCCACCATGTTCGTATTATGCTTCGTCTCGGTGCCCATTGCGGATTGATTCCTCTTCGTGGTGTACCTCTTGTTCAATTCATCCACCGAGCCTAGGATACGGTAGGTAACCGAAGTGGTGATCGTGTCAGGTTCGGATAGGGTCGTGGCAGGACTAACCGATCTGAGACTGGCAGTTGGACTTGGCGTGTGCCAGCCGTCACTGTGATTCCCGTCATAGACGATGCACTGGGGTACCGTGATCGTGCTTACCGGAGGGAGATCAGTCTTGCTCTTCGAATAAGGATAACTCGGTAAGTCCAGGTAGGTGCAGGATACAACTTCGTCTTCTCTAGGTGGGAACATGTATCCGTAACGAAACATCTCCTGCAATTCCATCGCACCGAAATTGAAGATGATACGTTCACTTGAACAGGTATGTGAACCTTCTTCGTCAATTCCTTCACTGTATTTCCACTGTGTCGTCACGGAATCACGATTAGATTATTCTGTTCGAACGTAGTCTTCTTAGATAGAATTCGCGATAGAAGTAGAATTCTCTTGATCGTTTCACGATGATTCTCTTCAGGTTCTCTGTGTGCACATACCGACTCGGCTGTCGGGGTGTTTCTGAAGTCGGCAGGCACAGTGGCGGGGAATTTATGCGTTTTCGGAGCGAGGCACCCTCGTGCAGCACGTGCCGTCTGACCAATGAACACTCGTCTGGTGTCCCCACCACTTTTACCATGAAGTAGGGCCAACCAGGTCGGAGTATGCGAATGGCTAGTGCAACAGGTGGCATCGGCGCCTCCAACCTACACGATCATGTACACAGCCATTGCGTTAGGCCCTTTCGAATGCATGTGTATGGACATGTGCAAGCTCTGTTCACTGCACATTATGCACACCTATACGTTCCACGCGAAGTTGGCCCAACCGTGACCAACTACCTGTTGGTTGATATACTTCATCGGTAATTCGTTGAAGATTATATTGAAAAATGGTCTTCTTCAAGAAGCAAATTGTAGTACTTTGTTCGTTCAGGGAAAGTTTACTGGATAAATGTAACGATTTGAAGCACACTATGCATTTCAATTGAGGATTTAAATGGAATATCGAGATTATTTGATTAAATTGTATGAAGATTTTTAATATATGGAATGTTTCATGGTCCACTTGAGATTCTTATCAAACGCACATTTTTAATTAATTGGGAAAATTTCATTTAATTATCATTAGACGAATCTGAATAATAATATTGAGAAAAATTGAATGGATAAATACCTTTAAGCAATAAGTATTGAAGGGATGATGGAATGGAACCGGCTGCAATGAGGAACGCGGTCCAGCGCAAATTTACCTTGGGAAAAGAACGGATCGTATCTTGAAAAGGGTGCAAATACCTCAGGGGCGTAAGGTCCAGTTACATTTTTACTCGCTCAATTAGCGAAAACAGGTAGGATAAAGTTTGCGGCGAGCACGACGGTGGTCCGAAGCAACCCGATCTCTGTCATTCCCTTCGGACGCAGCCGTGTTGGATTTCGGGATCGTCCCGCCGTCGTCCTAAAATTCTTCCTAAGTAGCGACACGATAATCCCATGCTTAAAAACCTTTAGTACTTTTCATACCTTTAACGAGAACAATCGTGTGATCGGTAAATGCTGAATTTTTTGTCTCCCACGATAGATAGGATCTTCGGTACCCATTCTGTAAATTTAACGTCTTAAATGATTTGTAGATCAAGGTACAAAAAGAAATGTAAAAAATTGAATAATAATTGATAGGGATTTCTCAAAGAAATGTTTTTTGTTACATCTAAATAGTTGTGCGATTTTCACGCGAGAGTATTCGTCCGTCGAATTAGGGTGCAATTTAAAAATTGATTGCTTCCATCTATTATCTTCTTGTTTTAGAACGGAACTGGGACGGAACCAATAATTAGGACTACGAAATGCACGCTTGTCTGTGCCTATCCTTGCTCGGTTCACCTACAACATTATCTCGCTTTCGACCTTCTGTTTTCATCTTTTTGCTTACCTGCTTACCCATGGTGGTTGTAGCTGTTCAACCCACTCATCCTGTCTTTGCTCGTCAGAACCTTGCTAAAGAATTCCCAATTTTTCTCTTAATTGGTCTCAGTTAAATTTGAAATAAATTAATATGAAATTTTCTTAATAGCATCTACTTTTCTAAATAAATAAAAAAAAAATTAATTATCAGTTGCATTTCTTTTCATCAGCAGTGTATTGATACCCAATACAATAAATTAATTGAAATCACTAATTAATTTCTTGTATTCCACGATTATAAGGAGTAAAATAATGAAGAAAAAAACAAAACAGAACTTTGATAAGATGAAAAAAAGGGAAACTGAGAGAGACAAAAACTGAAGCAACAGAAGGCCTGGAGCCAAAATGGCCGAGGTAGGTCCGATGGTGAGGATGCGCCCTGGGCGTGAGTCGAGTAATTAAATACAAAATGTACTCATTTGTGAGCTCGGTGGCAAATAACATGTTACCCGGCAACTAGCGATAATTTATGAGAGCACCGTATGACGCTATCTGTCTGACCCTCCACGAAGTTCGACTACATGGCCAGGCCTATTCAATGAATATGCATTCAGCAATAGAGATATAAGCTTTTGCAGACAAATGTAGGTCTAGAAATCGAATTATTACCATTTATTTCACTTCATCTCCTCCCATTTTCTCTTGTTTCCTAGGATTTTCCATTTCATTAATAATTCATTAGACAGAGGTGTGTCTTCTGAAACAGTAAATTGATTTCTTGATTGATAACGAAGGTTCTGAAATTCTTTTCTTCTAATTTCTTGTAGTTATTGAATTAAATTTGTGATGCCAGCCACTGATGACCCTTACAATAGTTGCTCCAATTTTGTTCATTAAAAAATCTCCAATCGGGGTGATCTAATTTTTCGCTATGCCATCATAACTGGTTAGACGAATTGTGACAGCCATGACTCTGACACCTGTGTTCCTAAACAGAAATCACGTGCTATCAAAAACATACATCAAAAAGTTGTATACCACAACGAGCTAACCATTCATCTATGCATTCCGAGTTGCCGTGTCTAGAACCAGACAGGAGAAGACTCATCGAAGCTTGTTAAGGGGTGCGTGCCGAACTGATTCTCAGAATACAATTACCACATTATCCGGTTCCGCTTTCAAATTCCTTATTTTGTCCTTTCTGGCTGAGCCGACATCGTTTCGTTCCTATTTATGTTTAAACACCAAGGATTATTATTAACTATCGAATAATACAAGCGATTTTTATGAATTTATTTCTTGAAACAATGAAACAAAAAATTAAAAAAAGGCCTATGTGAATTTGAAATATCACTTTAAAAATATTTGCTAAAATTTGGTACCTATATTCGGACATGCTACGGTGTCTGAATATTAATATAAAATAAATATAGAAGGACGACCACCAACGGGTCCGTCGATGTCTTCCGGATACAAAACCGATTATGGACAATAACTTTATTTTCCCCTGACTCCAGTTTCTCATACTTGGCGCGTTTGAACGTACCGACATGCCGCCTAGTTATTTGTGCACGCTCCGATATACCATTTCGGGGACGTAATCGCTAATCACTCGTCAGATTTCAAAGAAAGGGACAAAATCACAAATAAGGACTAGTTTGGAAGTTACTTCGGTTTTCGGCTGCCGCTTCGACCACCTAACTATGCTTGTTGGCTGATTTTACGGTTTCTACGAAACTATGGATGGCAACTATCGTAGGGGTCACCCGTGACCGACGCCACAAATTTCATATAATCCGATAATTGAAAGAAATTAAAGAAGGTTCAATGTACCATTAGTATCGTATTAACCTTAGAAAACTCCTCACCCTCCTTGTTATTTTATAAAATATTGAAATAAACATGTTGGCGAAGTTTCTTACCAGCATCAATCGGTCAAATTTAATTCAGAAATCCCTCGCATCGTTACGGACGTAATATATGTATCGTAATATGGTAACAACCGTGTTGAACCAGCCCACAGGAAGGTAGTCTCGTAATTAACTTAAGCCTAATAGAGCGTTTAGTAGAGGATACTTTGAGGTAGGTCCATTGTATTAGCATAAATCATGGAGGCAAATCTCCGGACGGTAGATGAGCAACAGTTTATCATACTTCACAAATGAAGGGGTTACCACACTGTTATAAGTCGCTCGTAATTACGTCAGTAGATGTTCCCGAAGGATTTTCCGGCGTGACGGTCAGTCGTAAACGCGTTAAAATTTTTCTACGTTCCGTATACCTGGATATGGATCTACAAAAAGAAAGATGCTTCCTAATCGAATAAAGCCATACTACTAATGTACAAAAGAAAATTTTAAAAAATTACAATTTTTTTATATTTTTACCTTTAATATATATAAAAATTAAAATATAAAAATCCTATGTTGAACGATGGACAACATAGATTCCATAAGTCAACTCAATAATCTTTTGCCATATTTATGGCAATGTTTCAAACTTTCCATTATACAATAGAATTTGAGTAATTTTGAAACGTCTAATACAATTTTAATTCCTTTACCGTGCCGACTTTCTTCCTTGATCTTCGGGAATAAGAACCGTGACCAGGTTCCAGTTTAATTATCTAAAGTTCTCGGCGGCCCGAAAACGAAATCAGTCGATGCAACGATTTTGATCTAAAAATGGGGGATTTTTATGGGTTTCGGGAAAGCTAGTATGGATATATGAGATCTCAGGCCCCGAATACCTATCCCTCTGCGTTTACCTATATTTGGGGTTGAAAACCCTTCCCACAGAAGAGACCTCCAAAGGAAGGGGCGGTGAAATGAAAATATATTTTTACGCCCCGAATTCACGAAAACAAAACGTTCGCTTAAAATCTGTACAAATAACTTTTAGAAAAATTAAATGAAAGACAAGAGAATATTTGCAAATTTAAATGAGTGAAATTGGTGATCGCACACCTCGGGGGCACTTTTTAATAGTAACAAGTATGCAATCTTTAGAAACTACTGCAGAGTAGCGCTTTTATATTCAGGACCACACAGGTAGTCGGCGAGCATTAAGTTTTGCATACAGATACCGGCAACAATCATCGGTAACGCTATATTCAATTTTTATATTGAATATTAAAGCGGTTCCGCATCTTATTACCGGCAACTACCCCGGCGAGTGTTCAAATTTTATACTCTCATTAGGATATAATACATTGTAGCTAATATTTATTGATCAGAAATCATGAAGATTTAATGAACAAGAGCATCTTGACTTTCATACGTTTCCATTGAAATCGTACGATTTTTCGTAGAAAGCATAATTTAAAAATTATCCAAGATGTGCATGCTAAATGTCTCACGCGTGACAAACGGAATTATATAGATCGAAGAAGAAGATTTTGGCCACGACCGAAACCGCTCTGATTAACGTCAATGACGAGATAAATGGTTAAACGTCCTAACCTGTCCAAAATATGTAATACAATGGTGACGCGATACCAAAGATTTTTTGGCGCTACAGTAAAACGAACCGAAGCAATTCAACGCCATAGAAATGCTAACGCGCCTTAGAATTATCAAAGGAGCCGCTTTTGCCAATGATCTACCGTGTCAAATGGAACAAACGTTGCCGTATAATCTCGCGTGCCCACGAGATTCGTTCTTGCGAACTTTCAGAATGTTATAAATTAGTACATAGAACTACATCCTACGATTGTCTGCACTTTCCTTTCTTTCGAACCTCCCTTTTGTTTCTTCCCTTTTCTTCGTCTCTTTTTGTTTTTTTAATAATTCAAGAAATTCGTTTAAAAGAAAATCTTTCAAAGTTTTCTCACGAAAATTTGCCTCAAAATTTTTTTTTTATGGAATATTAAATTATAAGTAAGAATATATTTCCATTGACTTTATAAAGCTATTCGTGACAGCGAGAAGTGGAAGTAAGTTGAAAGTTGCAAATTGCTATCATCTCTTGACTGGTTCGAAAATCACCGCGTTTACGCAAATTATTGCCGAAAGGAACAAACAATTTATCCTTCGAATTTCCATAATTCGTGGACAAGTAGCTCGAGCTTCTGTTTTCAACATCCACGAATAGTTTAAATATCAGCAATCATTTTAATTGCCCCATAACTATTCTATTATCATTTTTCCAATAGCATAGTTGATTAAATAAAAAACGTAAAATGAAATTTTCATAAGCACAAGTGCATGCTCGGTTCACATGTTTAACCCTTTGAAGACTGAGCGACTCAAAAATTCATGTAATACACCCTTGGAAAATTGAAAGTACCCAATGTGAATTTTAGAAATCTTAATAATGGCTATATTTTCTTAAAATAAAAAAATATTTATACTTTGCGAACAATACTAACCTGCAGTTAGAAATGACGTAGCCGTGAGTAGACAAAAATTGTAAGAAGCAGGGAAGAAAGGAAGTAACGATGAAATTTTTCGTAAGCATAAAGGCATGGAAGGTCAGTTCGCGTGTTTAAAAAGCGTGACCATGGCTGTTGAGGTGGCGGCGGCAGTGGTGATGCTGATTATGGCAGACAACGATCGGAAGCAACTTAAGGGCGGGGAAACGGAATCGAGGACTAGCAGCACGCGCCAGCCACACGCCTCGAGTCTTCTTGGGCCTTTTGCCTTCATCCTCAGACACGTACACCTGGGACAGTTGGCAAGCGAGAGACAAAACCGGGCAATGTCTACTAGACAGTGTCTTCTTTTCTTCGGCAAAAACTGAGAGAAATAAAAAAAAGAACAAGTTAAGTATAAATAATAGCCAGAAACACGATTCGATGCACTTGTATTCTATTTTAAATAAATGAAGATATTTTAACTTATCTTTGTAGATCGTACAAATTCATTGGTCGCAGGGTTGATAAAATAGTACGTTCTTCGAAGAAATGGCCGACTTCGAGGTATACCTAAGTTGTTATGCAGTAAGGACACGGGGACATTAATAGCGGAAACGTAGTCACAACGATCTTTCGAGGATACATGATTTCCTTGGATGGTAGTTTGGCGGACGGTAGGTAGATTAAACCCTCGAGGCAGCGGGTGCAGCCTGCTTACCGTATGCTTCCCATATGGCTCGTCCTCCCTCGAAAAAGCGACCCGTGGAGGCTCGCGCGCCTCATTCACCCTCCCCTATTAGCTTACCTTCTCACTACCCTTTACCTTAGAATCCTCCTAGTAGGTGTAACCATACTTTCAACTAACAGATGAGATTATGCCAAATCACGCTGACATTTGCTGATCATAAGAATTATAGAATTTGGCTCTCTTAACCTGCAGGAAATCTTTAGAAGCAGATATAAAATTTAAATGTTTAATATTTCTACTCTTGAACTGTAGAAGCCATACCCATTAGGGCTTTAGGAGGAAATTCTGGAAATTGGTAGTATAGAAAGAACTTCTTCCACGACGTCTAATGATTGTCTCATTTAATTAAAACTACCAAGTGTAATTTCTTGCTTCACTTTTGGACCATCTCGAGAAGCGAAAATTGATGGTAATGTGTTGAAAGGAGGAAACAGATAATTTAAATTACACCTTCGCTTCTTCACACGCTACATGACCGTCAATTTTATCTGAAATTAGTCGAATAGGATCGTGAGATTCATAAGGCTTAATTTAAGACAGAGGTTCAGATCACTCTGGATAAATGCAAGTTAAGTATATAAGTAAAACCAACAAACGCGTTATACCGATCACCGATCAAGGTGATCGCACAACCATCACTAGCAGCACCTCCTCCGGATGTGGGCGGCGCTGGTCTTCGATAGTCTCGTCAGACGTTATCGTGAATTACTCGTTAGTTCGTGAGAACTGCTTAAATTCCCTTTGTTGTCTTAAACCGGTTTATATTACAATTTTTGCCGTGAAAATGAGTACGAAATTTCGTCCAGTTCCAGCCCGTAACTTCCATTCGGGAACACATTTCACCAGGAGGATCTGAAAAATGTTGACGTTAGAAACAAATTTTTGAATCGTACAGTGAAATTTTTATTTATATATAATATATTTTTATCTGACCAATCTGCTAAAAACAGATTATATTGCATGTATTAAACCCCGTTGCTTTCTCAAGATCGTCTCAGTATCTGTCGTGTAGTTTCTTCTATTGGACAAATGACCCAAGATGTAAATCGGTAAAATAGCATAGGAGAACCTGTGAACTGTCATTGGTAGTTTTTGTTTGAGAAATAAATATTAGTCGATTCGATCCTCCGATAACACATCCGCGTTAAAATAGGTGCGAAGACCGTTTTTAAGACAACACTGCGAAGATCGGCGAAGGATTATAGAATTCTAGCTTCCCATCCCTTTCTGTTATACAAACCCGACATACTTTTCTATCCCTTTTCTCTCATGGGAATAGGCACGATCAGATTGTCAACAGTACCACGAGAAAAAGAAAAGGTAGTTTAAGGAAATTTAGTGCTACCACTTCCTCTAGTGAGATATCCCAGTTAGCTAAAAAATGTCGCATCAAAAAACACGACCTTTCTTCGGAATGCATAGTCAATGAGAGGATTAGGTTCACGATAAGATTCGGTAAATTTGCACTTTTGTTTGTTCGTCATTAGAAAATTTCTCCTTCGTCCTTGGATTACCATTTTTCAGAATAATTTCCCAAATGTTTTATAACAAATTCCTTTTAATACAATTATTTAAAAATGTATGCAAATTTCTATTGTCTCATCAGACATTGCAAAATAAATTTATTGGTCTTAGGAAACCACCTACCCAGAGAAGGGTTAAAAATGGTACCAAGGAAGCCAGAAAATCAGGTTCTATTAACAATAACGTGATATTTGAATGAATTTGCAAGAACGCTTACAGGTGTCAACATTTTCGATGAGACATCGGACACCGATGTCACGGTTCCTCTTGTTCTAAGTAGCCCGGGTGGTCCTCTCACCTCTTTTGATCCTATCTTTGGACGATCTCGGGATCAGCTTCAGCGACGAGCTTACTGCTACTTACTAAGGCGGTACATAGATGAGAAGCAGATGCCTGAGATGAAATCGTCTGCGTGTAACATAAAAGAATTACACGTCTCGTGAGAGTCCCGTGAGATTCTTGTAACGTACCTGACGGTGGATCAAAGGGTAAAACACGTGTTACAGATCCGTAAAGACCAATTAAAAAGTACAAGATAATTAGCAAACAAGAAGTAGCAATTACCATCTAATTATATTATTTCAATTTTAAAAATTCATCAACCAAAGTTACTGATATGTGGCATCAGTCATCAAAGTGTTAAATGCAACCCCAAATGAGAGTCTGTAACATAAAATGAAACGGTGTGGTATGTTTAATTTCATGTACGATCACCGGTCATTCTTGTTTCCGAATTATTCTACCGCTTACCAGAATGTTTTTACAGCCTGTGCCTGTTCTCATCGCTGGTGCAGCTATAACCGTTTTTGAGGGTCGTATTGTAAAGTCATGCCGCTCTCGTGCGGTCACGTGCGCATTGAGCCATCAAGACAGATATATTGAGGAAGAGGCGGTACGCTTATTACAGACGACTCTTTCTCGGCCACAAATCAAATAACATTTTACTTCGGCTGATAGCCAGGTTACGTTGCTAAGAACGAAGACACGATTCCTTTTTTTTAGAGATATCGATATGGTTCCATCATCATTTTCATTGATAATTTAGAAAATCTGTAATAGAGCTGTCGATATAGAACTTCTACTATTTGAATTTCTTTTTAGGCCTTTTGATACTCTTTGGCTCTCCTCGATTCGTGCCGATTCTTTTTTATTTAAAAATATAAATAATTAATAAAAACTTAAGTCTATACTAGAATTATTTTTAATTCCGTGTTCTCTTTCATTCAGATATAAAGACTCTGCAAGAAAACAAATTTTCATAAAAAATTACCTGAAATTAGAAAATAAAATACAGTGTGCGTTAGGTGATTGGACTACCTGGTTTTATATGACGCGTGTGGTAGAGTTCCCAAATAATATGGATGCCGAGGAAGGGATAAGCCAGCAGAGAAAATTATCCCGTCAGGGTAGAAGGTGAAACGCGCGTCTCGCACTTACGTCCGCCCACGCCTGCAACTCGTTATGACTCTAAAGATATTCACAATACGCGTTTCGTGACCCTGTCAGCGTTTTACCACCTTTAGTATCTTTAAATTGTAATCTGATAATAGCAGACCGGGGCCATGATGTTAACTGGATTGGATTTTAACAAGACACGGTTCCTTTCGCGTCGCGCGGATAAATTAGAAAAAATGAGAAAATAATTGCTGATGATATTTTTACTGTCAGTTAAGAGAGTGGCGTAAAACAAATTTTTAATAATGTATACCTCTTGTACAACAATCTTATATTATTCAACTTTGGTAAAATAATTGTAATTAAAATAAATTTCTATGTTACTGTATTATAACTTATGATCAATCGATTTAAAATCGAAGGATGAAAAAGATTACAGTAAATTCCCCGCCTACCGACGCATCTTCAACCGTTTAATCTAATAAAGCAATTAATAACTAATAACTTAATACGCTTCATCTTGGAAGAAGTCCATAATTACATACTCTTTAATTACATGTATCCTATGTTCGATCGAATCGGCGTTATTTGATTATCGTCTGAATTAACGAAGAGGCGGAACTGTTTGTTTTTGGGACACTGATGAACCTCCGAGAAGCGAAATTTATAACACGAAATCTTGATCGACGTTTTGGTGATCCATAGAAAAAGAAATAAAACAAATTTGATTTATTTCGATTATTTCTAGCGAAATTAATTTTCTTTTATTTATATATATTTGATGATGATGTTATGAATGTATATTACATTTATTCGAATGTTGAGTTCAAGATTCAGCAAATAAAATCACCGTTTCATGTAATTATTTTCGCAACTGTGTTATTATAAGGCACGCGACTATAATTATCCCAAATTATGACTCGTGCTCCCTGTTTTCCATACACAAATCAAACACGTGTGCAAACATTTCAAGCTATTGAAAGAAGACAATTTTTATTAAAGAAGAAATAAATAACTATAATATTCTAATACCCAATTTTGGAAAGCAAAGATATGCTCTTAATCTACTAATAAATTTAATCCATTTATTAATCATTTAATGATTCAAAATTCTGCGTTGCAATTTGACGTTTCAAAAAGCACAACAGTATAAATGAAGAAATACCTTTGAACCTTTCAACACCTCTTATATAACAATAGGTGTTAACATGATACCGACAGGTGGAATAAAGAAAAACTAAATAAACCTTTCATCGTTTTCATAACGATCAAAAATCGAAGACTCAGGGGATCGAACCGAAAAAGTAAAAGGAATCCGCGATCGATGGTCGTATTCCAAATAACATCGGTAGGTGATGGCGATGCGAATCGTCTTGTCAAAGAAGGTTCTGTATAAAAATCTTGTTCTGGAACGTGAACGTGCCGGTTCAACGTGACTCGAAGCACAACACTCGAAGGATCAGGAGGAGTTCGATCGATTCTCCTTCGAATTTCTAGCCGTACCCTATATATTTAGCATATCCTCCATAACTGACAGCATGTTATTTCACCAACAAATAATACGCAAGAACCATTGTGTATCCGGCGAGAGAGCACTTGAGATTGGAGGGCACCCTTAAACGCTTTTAAACACACGCGGAACGGGACGAAAGGGTGTTGGAGGGCGGCCAACAGAGAGCCGAGGACAGAGGGTGAGCACGGCTACGTGGAAACGTGCGGTCTCGCTACCTGCTAAATTACTACAACCGACAAGCAACCAGAAAAGAATACTTTTCTCCTCGGCCTCCAATTATCGCGCATCGAAGGATCTGGCCGATGACCAAGATACACTGCATCCAACCACTTGTACGACACTCGTTTTTTTCTTAAAATTCTTGATTTTCAGGTATCTCTATATTAAAAATAAGAAATAAATGAATGCTAATTAAAGTATTGTATCTACATTTAAAATTCATCCATGCAACCCTGTAGTGCCATGGGGGAACCAGTAAATGTACTACCATTGCTTATATTAAACATTTTTCTCAGGCAACAAGCATTATAAAAAAAAAAAAAAAAAATCGATAATTGATCCTAATAGTCAAATATGATAGCCATTAGTTAAGTTTCAAGTACAAAGCTCGTATTGCATCTCCGATTTCTGCTACTCGCATCGAATCACGGATCAAAGATCTCATCCCATCGTTCAAACTCTGTTCACCTTTACCTTCTTCGTGTTCTTTTCTTTCCTCTTCTTTACCATCCACCGAGATTCTTCGTTTCTTTCTATCCTATCTTAACCAAAAGGTTCCCACGACTTTTCGGCTTGAACTGAACCACTATCGCTTCTTCTTTCTTCTTTTTCATGGTATTACCTTTTTCAATAAAAACAACAGAATTTATTTAATATTAAAAATGAAAGATGTAAGCGCAAATAATCACTAAAATTTAAACGATTTAAAAATAATTCTCATATATAAAACATTAACAATACATGTCAGACGAAAAGATAAATCTTTATAACTTCTCAATCCCTTTTATGCTAATTACTTATAATGGGGGACTATCATACTTAAATTATGATGTATCTGAAAACGAGCGTCACATTAGGGTGTACCAGTCCAACGAAAGGGATTAGTATTAGCATTATTTACTAGGCATTAGTTTGTAGTCCGACAAGGATAATACGTTTTAATTCAACGAATCGTGGCTGTCGTCTTAAGCTCGTTATTCGCGCATATATTTTACAAGATTAGGATTCATCAAAACTTTCCTAAGTGGCCGGTATCGTGATTCAAGCTTTGTGACCTTTTCGTTTCGTCGCGACGATTAAAAGGGCCAAGAAAAAGGAAAAGAAAAATGAAAAGAGGAGTCAACAATAAACCGAGTCATCACTTTACTGGGTGAGCCAACTAAACAGAGATAAGCGGATTATGCTGTTCTCGTCGTATCGAAAGGAAGACCAAACTAGAAATTGCAAACTGGTCTGCAGAACTTCTGCTGTATTATAGGATTATCATTAATCACTCTGACAAAATAGTAATTTAAAATCTACAACTTTAACTCTTCAAGGTTTATGATTTTGTTAAATTGTAACATCAAAGAAGAAATGTATAATATATAGGTTTATATTTTATAAATAATATGAAAGATATATCAATTACGTCTGTATTTGTGTCAGAATGTTGTATATTGATGAATCTAAGGAAGAAGAAAGAAGGAGGAAGGAAGAAACGATTAACTTTCCCAAAGTCTGAAACCACTATACAGTGCCAGACCTACGTCGAAGTTGAGGAAAGTCCGTTAATTGACGCCAGAAGGAAAAAATTGATTTCCAGAAGCCTTAAACGACCGACATTTGAAAATAACTCTCCAAAATCATGGTGGCCTGAAACCTCTCGAGCAATTTGTATTCGACAGAACAATTCATAATCGTTGTACTCGAGAATCTCTCGAATGTAAACAAAAAATAAGTTACCATTTCGTAAATTAAATCAGCAAAAAAACGTGTTAATTCATTAAAAAAGAAGAAAGACAAAAAGAAATTAATCGAAGACAAACCAAATAGAAAATAGCTCTAGCTATTTAAATTCATTAAGAAGTTAAATCCTCAAAGTCTTCCTTAACTAAATATCTTTCTCGAAAATTAGTCTTGAGTGGTAAAACATCAGTAGCTTAGTGATTAGGATTAAGAAAACATTCTTTTGAAATAAGAAAGTGGCGCCGAACAAGGATTTTAGTCAAGTCTAGACAGGTAAAAATGCTTCTGTCAGCAAATTTTGAAAACACTGATGAAGCTTGTTAAAAACACCTCCAAATCATTTTGTAAATTTATTTTGCAAAATTGACTATTTTCAATCACTGCAAGTTTCAAGATGCATTTTTTAAACTTCTCAAAGACACCAATAATAAAAGATAACTACAGAAGAGTAAGAAATTAAATTCTGAAGAATAAATAATCTCCACTAAAGTAACTTCAAGTGTAATTATTTAATTTCTTCATTCTTTCTTAATTTCTTCAATAGATGATCGTCGGTAAATTACGAGACATCAAAGTGAATAAGGCTAAAGAAGAAAAAAAAAAGAAAGAAAATGAAACAATCGCTCTCTTTTTGAAAACAATCCGTGTATTGAAAACAACGGTAACAATAGACCTTCCGCCTAACTAAAGAGTCCTCGTAAAACAACAGTTCATCGAAACTAGAGGAAAAGACTGGTGGAGAAGAAAGAAGCAAAAAGAAGAGAGTATGGTTATAACGTAACAATGTGGCACCCTCCTGTGTGATAGAGTGGCTCTCAGATCGTGAGTAAAATTTCATTTTCTTCCTACTGTTATGTTGTTCCCGCCATTCGAACATTACTATGTTCTCATTTTTTAATTATATTATTAAAATTGTTGTAAAACATTTATTCTAAGGTGTAATGCAAATTGAATTGAAGCAAAGATGATCACGAATGTTCTTATCAGAAAACATTTGTAAATTTCAAATCGAACGGTTAAAATCTTTAGCTAATACGTGTGATGCATACACGCATGCAAGACAAATTACACGGTACGCATTGGCGACCTGGCGCCCCACATTCTGACGCTTGCCAAATTTCAGCGTTCAGCGAACAGTTCGCCAATTCCCAATGATTATCCACTTAAATTCCGAAGTCGCGAGTAATTATGCGAGGGTGCGAGGGTCAATTTGATAATTGCATTATTCCGTTACAAATAATTACCACCTTTCCTTGATGCAAATCTTCGGAGAAGAGCTTTCTACATTTTTCTACCTTTAATTGCACTGCATTTTCTTCTTACTTTCTCCGGTAACCACACACGTTGATAATATTCGTCTGAAAAGTTCAATAATTAAATTTAAACATCAAATTTGAAAATATCAATCCTGATCCTTTATGCTTACCTTTTTTTAAATAAAATTGTTAGATTTAATATCTTGAAGTTTCATCAGTCTAAACTGGTACATTTTGTATTTGTGGTAATTTTATATATTCATTTATTAATTTTATATAAAATATAGAGAAAATGAAAGGGCAAGTAAGACCAACTGTGTTCGACATGCAGAAGTGAAAGAGGGGAGAAGCACGCGTCTGCCACGCTCCCCGTGTATACACCTGGGACCAGTTGGCTAGCGAGAGGAATCTCTTCCACCCTAGGAACAAACAATGTCCAATTATTAACAAATTATGATTGCGAAATTAGAAATCTTCCGGAAATATAGAAACGAGGTGGTTTTTTATAACAACCAGAAACTCCTTGCTATTGATAAGGGTGTCTAATTCGCAATATTCTACGCGAAATGGAATATTTTCTTCTCATTAAAATAATCAATAAGATATGTTAAAAACAAAAATATTATCTTATAAAAATTTTAGGTAACAGCTTCAATGTGGTACTAAAAATGTTAATAAATATGAATTGTTTCTTATTTGTAAATCATCAGCACATTTTGTTTTTCTACTTCTGTATGTAATAAGGCTTGAAGGAACTCGTACGATATCGCGGAAGGAAGTGAAATTTATTCGGCTGCATGTCCCTTCAGCTTCAACGAAAGACCAATCGTTCGCAGTTCCTTCCTCGCAACAAGTTTTAAGGCTTTTATACATTTTTCAAGATAAATCTCTTATGTTGTTATGAAAGGATTTAAAATACTAGTGTCGCTAGTATTAAAGAGTGCCAGAAACATAGAATCACACATAGCCGAATTACAAAGAAGAAACCTCGGCAAAAGAGCCGGTAATTAAATGTCTAAGATAAGTAAACGAGAATGCCGACAGGAAGCTGGAAACAAGCGGAAAACCTAGAATAACATTAAAATCGCATTAGCTACCGCAGCCACAGTTTCCGGTCGATTTGAAAATACGTACTATGCACGTGTATCTATTTGTAATAAATGCAATTTTTAATACTTTTGTTTTTAACATACCTTCCTTTTTATTTTAAATGAAAAAGCTTGTTCTCTATTTTGAAACTATATAAGACACGACAGATTAATCTGTCATAGTTTCACATAGTTTTATAGGGATATTAAAGAATCTCCTCTGAGTAAACAGCTACGCTAAGGAAGAAATAAAAGTAAGCAGCAGCCTGGTGCCGGTTTTGGCGCTCTCTAAAACGCCTGAGCCGATGATCACATTCCAGATAACCCGGTTAACCCTTCTAGCCCATTATTATAATATTTGCCAAGCCAAAATATAGTAATTGCTTATTTGCTCGGGCCCAATTACCACAACATTCACACACATCCATGAGTTCTTCATACTAACAAGATATCTGCGCCACTCGTACCGTTTATAAAAATTCATCCACCACTTTCTCTCTGTAAAACCAATAACAATATTAGCACAAAAGATTTCAAGGATTCTGAATTTCTTTTTTACTTCATTTATAAAACTTTCATTCAAATGAAACCTAAAAGATTGTTGCGTATAATATACTTTTATTATACTGTATAAAGTTTATAAAACAGGATTCTGGTTGTTTAAAATGTTTTATTTTATAAAGTCGTAAATGAAAAATGCATAGCTATATCATAAAATAAAATATTATAGCTGGAAAAGAAATGTCCAAATTTGTATATACATATTTCTTATGGTTTCCATAATTTTAAAAGTCCATCTTCGCTATAAGAACATAGGAGATTCTGATGAGGATGATGTGTTAGACCGATAACGTCTTTTTCGTGTATCTGAAACCCAAACAGAATTTTAATGTAGCGTACATAAAGCCCGGAAGGTAACAGTACTTACATTAAGAGTTCTTTCAAGTTTTCCCGAAGACGTAGAGAAACAGTAAAGCACAAGATCTTCACCAACACAGTAAATAAATTCACCACGGGGACTTACAACTGTACACACAAAATCACCCCCCTCTCGTTTACCACTGGAAAACGACCTCACTATTTGTCCTTGCATATTCATAATAACTACTGTGTTCGAGCGATTACACACGACAAAATGTTCTGGATTTCGTGGAAGAAGATGTATGCTATTTACAGTTAAATCTGCAGCCCCTAAAGATTTATATGTACCTATACACTCTGTTGTTTTTAAACTCCAAACTTTAACAGTTCCATCTGATGATGCACTAAACAATATAGATAATAAATAAATAAATATTTCTGAAAGAAAATTGTTCAATAATTGAATAAAAATTATACCTGATTGTATTATGTCCATCTGGAGAAAAAACTACTTCATTTACGAAAGAAGCGTGTCCCCGAAATTCTTTCAAAGTTTTCCCAGATTTAAGACCATGTATCCTATATAGGGTACACAATAATGTTAGAAGTAAATTTTGACCGTAATTTCGTTTCTTTTTTAACAAACTTTTAATAACCTTATAGTAGTATCAAATGATGCTGATAAAATTTGACTATTATCCCTACTGAACTGAAGACATGTAACACCCTTAGAATGTGCCTTTTCAAACCTCCTTAAGCACTGTCCACTTTGTACCCTCCATACCTTTATTTTTCCATCTTGCCCACCCCCAGCTAACATTTCGCTGTCACGGCTAAATGCCATTGATAATACTGCTTGTTCCATCATCATGAAATTATCCTGAGCTTGATACTTCAAATCTTTTCTGATTTTACCAGTTGTGAAATTCCATACTTCAATAAACCCGTCGACAGAACCAGTAACTAAATATTGACCATCGGGCGAGAAACGTGCGCATTCTACATGAGATTTTTGACCAAATTTAATCTGTTTTGAAAGTTGTGTTGGATATTTTTCGTCTTCTTGATCGCGCACTGCCGCCTTTCCTCTGAATAAATCTATGGTAGTACCAGGTGGAAGTAAACCCTGATGCTGTTGCCATTTTAGTGCCTGGCCTAGTAATGCAAGTAATCTACTTGATGGTACTACTGATACTTCACCAGCAAGAGCTGTGGCTATATAGGCTCTTCGTTTTTCTTTTGTACTTCCATCGGGATATGCTTCACGGGGGTCGAAATATGAACGCGCGAGTAAATTTTCTATGTAGAATAATATTATGTTAAGAAAAACATAAGTAATATAAATTTATTTTTTTTATTGAAACTTAGGTTACCACACCTAAATGAATATATCTTTCAGGTTCCTGTTGTTTCATCATAATCATAGGATCTGTTTGCCTCAATAATGATCTAGCTGCTCCCAATTCTCGTAGTTCAATTAATTCCAAAACAACCTATATTAAACATATCAAATATTTATAACTTCATATATTTTTTATGATTTTTAACAATAACAAACCTGTTCATATAAATCAATAAGCTTTTTATCAGGTAGTTTTAACGACTGTATAGCTTTCAGTACTGTATCCCAATGTCCATTGTTTATATCTGCTACAAAACCATCTACACTGTCCACTGTATTCAGCGACACACCAGTCTCTTCCTATAAATATTCATATTTATTAATTTCTTTAAAGTATTATGAATATGTATTTTTATACAATAACTTTAAACTAATATACCTGTAATGTTTGTAACGTTTTAACAAGATTCGACTCTTTAAGATATTGCTGTATCAAACGAATCACGCTAAAATCAAATAAGAATTATAAGTATTTAGAATAAATATAAGGAATTTTGTTATTAAAAATAAGATAGTTACTCAGCAGATTCAATTTCAATTGACATCTTCTATAATATTATGAATACAGAGCACTGTCAGGTTATGTTATGCCGATAAACCATTGAGTTATACTGAACTATAATAAGTTATAAGCTATAGTGAATTACTGAGTTATACTATCTTCCTGATAATACTTCAACACGGTAGCTTCCTTAGGAAAAATGGCGATGTATAGCGTCGAGCATAGGAGGCTTCCCTAGGAAAAATGGCGATACTTCAGGTTTCGAGTAAAAAGCGCCTGAAACCTGCAACCCGCCCAGCACCGACGACTGAACGTCAGGTCAGCAGGGGTCGGTACAGTCATAACCAAGAATCGTTGAATAGTAGAAACTTACTTCATGCTATTCTGTTTCTCGGTACTGCAGCATTCGGCTTCGATTCTTGGTTATGACTGTACCGACCCCTGCTGACCTGACGTTCAGTCGTCGGTGCTGGGCGGGTTGCAGGTTTCAGGCGCTTTTTACTCGAATTTTTAAACGTTAATTACTGGAAAACAAAGCCGCAAACGCTATTTCGTTATTCTTGATTTTCGTCTTATTTTGATCCCTAGAATCATCCCTTAAAATTTTGCCCACCTGTTGTCGAACACCCTGTATATAGGGCTGTAATCGCCCACCACTAATGTAAAAAACACCTATGCGGGAAAATTTGAATTAATATTTACTTTGTTATTCATACTTTTTAGCTATATACCGAATTTTATAATATATTAGTTTCTTCTAAATTATTTTTTTGATATTAATATTGTCAATATTAGAGTTTTAAAGATTCTTTCTTCCACTATAACGCCATTTTACCTACAGAAACATACTGTGCTCCATGCTGTACTCTAAATTAACAAGTAATTTATGATAAAATGAGTGAAAATGTACAAGGAACATTTGTATCGGAAAAAATTTCCAAAATCAGATGGAAACACGAAGATTTTGAGGAAGCTAGCAATTTTTTAACCGGTAGTTGGGATGATCCGGTAAGGTTATTTTCTGTGGGCCTAACCTATTGCTTCCTTATGTATATACATAATAAGCTCTTTAACAATTTATAGTATTAAAACTTTTATATGCTTTAGGTAAATAAATTAACTCATTGGACATTTCAAATGAATGATGATGGTGAATCATATCCAGCAGTAGTTTCTTCATATGCTATCCTTGGAGATGTGACTGAGATAAAGGTTTTACTTATTTCATTAAGAATAAAATTATTGATTCTATTTATTAATATCTTATCAATTTTATAGTTCATCTCAAAAGATTTCTTTGTGGTGTCAACATCTATAGGTACAGTTAGACTGTTACAGATTCATGAAAATCCATATTCCCAGTTTAAAGAACACATGTCATGGGAATTCATACATAAATTTCAGTGAGTTTCATTGACAGAGATTAAATATTATATGTTAAATGTATTAAATTAATTCTCCTTTGTAGAAAAACAAGTGATTATGCATCTTGCACTGCACTATCTACCTTTGAGCAAGATATAGTTTCAGTTGGAGAAGATGGGAGGATTAATCTTTTAACTGCTGGTCAAGAATTACCAGTTAGAGTTATTGGTATTATAGAGTTATAATTTGTGTGTATGATATTGTAAAAGTAATTTTATTTATATTTCTATATATTTTCTAGATGAAGCTGATAGTTGCTCTATATATTGTGTTGATTTTTTAAGACACAATGAGATACTTACTGGAAATTTAAGAGGACACATGAAGGTTTGGGATTTAAGAAATGATCAAAATCTTCCTGCTACAACATTCATGCTCTCTGATCAAACAAAAGTATGATATTCTTAATCATATGTGACATGAATTAATTATGCACTAATAAAGAAGTACATATTTTTTTTTATAGACAGAAGCTACCAGTATTGCTCATCATCCAACTCAAAGACATATTGTTGTTGCTGGTGGTGGTGATGGTAGTTTAACAGTATGGGATTTAAGACATAATACATATCCAATGTCTCAACTTAATGCTCACGCTAAAGCTGTTAGTGAAATACTTTTCCATCCTGACAGACCAGAAAATCTATTCACTTGTTCTGCTAGTGGTGAACTATGGCACTGGAACAATTCTCAGCATTCAAAACTAAGTTTAGGTAGGTTTAACATATAGAAGAAGATTGATTACATTATTGTGAGTGTAATTTATGTTGAAATATTACTAATATTTCAGATCCTACAAACACACATTGGTTAAATACAATTGGTACAAATGGTAAAGTAAATGTAACATCTCTGTATAGCATTATGCATAAACCAATAAACAGTATTGACATTGATAGATCAACATTACTTTTTGGGTGCGATAATGAAGCAATGTATATTATCAGAGATGTAACTATTTAATACCTAGTTTATTTGAATTATATTTTTTATAATTGTAATATACTAAAAAGAAATAAATATGTTTTTTACCTTAAACGTTGTTATTTATTGTTGACCATTATTATTGGCTTATACTTCTTTAAATTTAAAATTATCTGGCTTAAAAAGTGCATTTCTTATGCATTTATAGCTCCATCTATCGTTGATTTCCGTGAACACGATTACAGGAAGCTTTTAGACGGTTAGTTTGCCATTTTGTGACGCCTTGTGTGGAAGTTCGTAAACAGATTTTGCTTTGCTTGCCTGCGGAGGGACAAGAATTATGTCAAAACGGAGGATCGAGGTCGTGGATCCGTATGTTAAACGGAAGGCGTGAGTGCTTAATCATATTTTCAATTACATTACTTGAAAAGTTGGATGAAATATTTTGCCATGTGCATTGTTACAAGTTATTTCAATCCAATCGCGCATCTCATTAAACAAATCTTGCGCTTCTTAAATAATCTATATAAAAGCATTTAATTTATTTAATAACAATATAACGAATAAATTTAATAAAATTAATGTTGTAAATTTGTGAAATTACTCTTTTTTTCCTGTTGACTTGTTTGGTCAACTCATCTCTAAAGGTTCTCAACTAAATTTCCTTTTTACACGAATATATTATACATCAGTATCGTTTAAAGATCCTTTATAGTTAAGAGAAAATAATTAAAACGTGTATATTATGATTATTTACGGGTACTTACAAAATATAGGTAAATACGTTTTATATTAGCTGTACATTTTTATTGGAGTTCCTAACCAATTAAGTGTTCTCAACTTTCTTTTTTTTCTATGACTGTCTTGTAACTAGCAGTTAAATCATTTTTAAATTGTATAGAGCCATAATTTTATGCAATGGTATATGTTTTGCTTCACAGAGATGGATCAACAGTATCTAATAATATAAGTGTACCAACAACAGCACCAAAAAGTCAAGTTCAACTTAATCCTTATACTGGACTACCTTACACACCACGATATCATGAATTTTATAAAAAGAGAATTACTTTACCTGTATTTGAATATCGTGCTGATTTTATGAGGTTATTGGCACAACATCAATGTATTGTACTGGTTGGAGAAACAGGGTCAGGTAAAACTACACAGATACCACAATGGTGTGTAGAATATTCAAGCTGTATTGGTAACAAGGGTGTTGCTTGTACCCAACCAAGAAGAGTAGCAGCTATGTCTGTTGCACAGAGAGTTTCAGAAGAAATGGATGTTGCATTAGGTAATATTCATTTTTATATCTGAAGAACCTGTAATTTAATGTGAATGTAATGTGAATGTAATGTGAATTCATGTAATTTGTATGGTGATTTTTTTAAATAGGTCAAGAAGTAGGATATAGCATACGTTTTGAGGATTGTAGTTCTCCAAAAACTGTATTGAAATATATGACTGATGGTATGCTTCTTCGTGAAGGCATGTCTGATCCCATGCTTGATGCATATCAAGTGATATTGTTAGATGAGGCTCATGAAAGAACTTTAGCCACAGACTTACTTATGGGTGTTTTAAAAGAAGTGATTAAACAAAGACCAGATCTGAAACTTGTGATTATGAGTGCAACACTGGATGCTGGAAAATTTCAGCAGTATTTTGATAATGCACCTTTAATGAATGTACCTGGCAGAACGCATCCTGTTGAGATTTTTTATACACCTGAACCTGAAAGAGATTATTTAGAAGCTGCTATCAGGACTGTTATTCAGATACACATGTGTGAAGAGGTAGCAGGAGATTTACTTTTGTTTTTAACTGGTCAAGAAGAGATTGAAGAAGCCTGTAAAAGAATCAAAAGAGAAATGGATAATTTAGGTCCAGAAGTAGGTGAACTCAAATGCATACCACTTTATTCTACACTGCCTCCAAATCTTCAACAAAGAATTTTCGAACCTGCACCACCAACAAAACCAAATGGTGCTATTGGCAGAAAAGTAGTAGTCTCAACTAACATTGCAGAAACATCATTAACTATTGATGGTGTTGTGTTTGTGATAGATCCTGGATTTGCAAAACAGAAGGTAAGAATGTACTTTCACTTTTAGTATTTCCCTGTAATATTTTGTTAATAATTTGTCTTCTATCACTTTTTATTATATTTTTTAACAGGTATATAATCCTAGAATTCGTGTAGAATCTCTTCTTGTATCACCCATCAGTAAAGCTTCTGCCCAGCAAAGAGCGGGTAGAGCCGGTCGTACCAGACCTGGAAAATGTTTCAGATTATATACTGAAAAAGCATATAAAAATGAAATGCAGGATAATACTTACCCTGAAATATTAAGGTCCAATCTTGGGAGTGTTGTATTACAATTAAAGAAACTTGGTATTGATGATTTGGTGTGTTACATGCTTAATTGAAACATTTCATCTTCTAATACTATATGATAAAAGTGTAATCAAATATTAATTTTGTATTATGTTTTTCCCTAAAGGTTCACTTTGACTTTATGGATCCACCTGCACCAGAAACTCTTATGAGAGCTTTAGAACTTCTTAATTATTTGGCTGCATTGGATGATGATGGAAATCTAACAGATTTGGGAGCTGTGATGGCAGAGTTTCCATTAGATCCTCAGTTGGCGAAAATGCTGATTGCATCGTGTAATCATAACTGTAGCAATGAGATACTAAGCATTACCGCTATGCTGTCAGGTAAAGTATTAATCAAAATGTTGTATTTTTTAAATAACGTAATTAGGTGCAAATCTCTTGCGTTTTTTATTTTTTGTACCTAAAATAATGTTAATACAATAAAAAGTTAATTAATAAAGTCAGGATCATGGTAAGGTAACGTGGTTTTATATTGATGATTGATATTGTATTAGTCCCGCAGTGTTTTGTGAGGCCAAATGAATCAAAGAAAGCCGCGGATGATGCTAAAATGCGATTTGCACATATCGATGGAGATCACTTGACATTATTAAATGTATATCATGCTTTTAAGCAAAGTAAGTATTTGTGGATTATTTTGAATGATCTTGTTAAAGCATGTAATTTTTTGTTACATTAAAACTTCAATGCTTTCTTTCCTTCACAGATTTCGAAGATCCACAATGGTGTTATGATAATTTTGTCAATTACCGATCTTTAAAAAGTGGCGACAATGTCAGGGAACAATTGAGCAGAATAATGGACAGATTTCATTTAAAACGTACCTCAACAGATTTTACATCAAAAGATTATTATATTAATATTAGAAAAGCGCTTGTGAATGGTTTCTTCATGCAGGTACCGTTTTTAATTATGTTTAAGAATAAATTATATAATAGTCGTCTCAAACATGTACTATTAATGATTTATACAAACAGGTCGCTCATTTAGAAAGAACTGGTCATTATTTGACTATCAAAGATAATCAAATTGTACAACTTCATCCGAGTAGTTGTTTGGATCACAAACCAGAATGGGTAATTTATAATGAATTCGTACTCACGACCAAAAATTACATCAGAACAGTTACTGATATCAAACGTAAGTTGTAATTTTAATAAAACGACATATAAATAATATAAATGTTGTAAATTGTTTTAATTGTACTTGAAACTTTTTATTTTGTTCATAGCTGATTGGTTACTAAAGATAGCACCACAATACTATGATCTACAAAATTTTCCACAATGTGAAGCAAAGAGACAACTGGAAGTGATTCAAGCGAGGCTAGATTCAAAACAATATCAAGAAGGATTCTAACCTTAATATCTTTTAGATATCTTCAAAAATGGTGTCAAGCAATCTGTAATATGTGGTCGAATCATTTTCGGCATTATGTCAAACACAGTTCTTTTTCGAACATAAAGCCGAGAACATACTAAATGTTGTGAGATATAATCAGAAGAGTAGTGTCGTCTACTCTGTATTTTCACGTGACATGTAAAGAAAAAGACAAATTTTACTGAACATTTATAATTTTGTACAAGCTTCAAAAACTTGTACATTTTTTAGGCTCAAGTGCCGACAAATTTCAATGTTTGTAGACCTCATTCTATCTTAACATGAAACAAATGAAAATTGAAATTTATTGTGCTAGAAGGCATGTGGAAGGCATAGTTGATTGATAAATGATTTATTTATGTACATTAATGAAAAATTTAGCGACTAAGTAATTTTACCAGTAGAATTTGTTGATTGACGTTTGCACACTTGAAATGTAGTACTAAAGATAGATACAAATAGATTAATTTTTGTATTAAATGTTGAATAAGTATGCCAGACGAAACGTATACAATGCTTGGATTATCGAAGAAAATGATTCTGCATAACCTTTGAAACACATTGTATATGTTTGATGTTTTTCCTTCAAATTAATTAATACCATTTAACGAGTTATACATTTCACGTTTTTCAAGAACACACATCTAAAAGGATTATATACTTATAATTTGATTATGATTATAATGTGCAAACAATGTACCACCTTATGCAATGTTTTTCTTCTTGTTTTTAATCAGTATAGTTTTGCTTTCATCATTTTACATGAAGAAAATTTATTGCAAATTGAAAAATACTTCCATTAACGAAAGAAGCAATTATAATGAAATAAAAAATAGTCATAACTTGTAATATGAACGATATTTTAAAAAAACTATGTGATAGGTTTGAAAAGAATCAAATTATTGAATACTTATTTATGTATACTAGCATAATAGAAATTGCAATCCACTATCACTGTGAAGGTTTATAGTATTTCAAGTCATCTTTACAAGCGTATAAATGAATTAAGCTTAATTATTATATGGTTAAACAATTGACGATATCTGATTTAGAACACCAAGTGCGTTAAAAAGTTTGTTAAATTGTTTAGTTTGTTTCTTTAGAACTGAAAAAACCTTTAAGTAGTTTGAAATACTATTATGCTACAAAATTGATTTTCTTAATGAAAGTGTAATCTTACTGTTTACAGTTTTTTTCTTGTTTTAACATATTAAATAATAGTTTGTTTTTGTAAATAAAAAATATGCAAATATTAAGAGAACATGTAAAATCACAAGATTTCTGATCGCGAACAGTTTTCATTGTATTGTATCACTTCATTCCAATAAAATAATGAAAATATGATACGATTGTGATAATTGTTAATGTGTACATGGCTTTAATTTTCAACCATTAAATTTATGCAACATTATTTATGAATATAAATAAATATTATACTTGTAATTTTAAATTTTAAATATTGCATCATGTTTTACGTAAGCAACTAAAAATGATTACCACAATGCTGAGACGTAAAAGAAGTTTGAGAATCACTGAGAAAGCACGAGGATCGTTGTGTTTCATCATTTGCCGATTTTTATGAAATTAAAAGAACCATGGCATCGTTTGTGGTACCGGCTGCAGTAAGATTTACTCGTGTCACGGTTGATAGTTTACACAATCTAAATAAAAATATTTTATTTAGGTAAGATTCCATGTTGAACAGTTTGTTGCAATGTTAAAACGTGTATATGTTGTACACGTTTTGTAACTTATAAGTAGGGGTTAGATTGTTTAGTAATAGTTATTTGCAATTCTGAATAATATGTTGTAAGCAATAATATAACAGATAAATTATAATATCAATGAGTAATGTATTTTGTTTAATTTCTTTCAAAAGGATAAGGATGGTGTAATCACAATATTTTTAATAATTTAAAGGTTATCTCAGCCATCCTATATTTCTTGGCAAAAACAAGAATATAGCACAATAATAGAAGAGAAAAAACCTGAAACTGGAGAATCACAGTCTCCAGTAGCAGGAGGTACAGAAAATGAAAAGAAATTAAAAGCAGATCTTGAACTTCTCAATAAGGAATTAACAGACCTTAGAAATTACAAAGAACAACTAGAAGACAAATACAAAAGAGCACTAGCAGATGGAGAGAACCTTAGATTGAGATTAACAAAACAAATTGAAGATGCAAAACTATTTGGTATTCAAGGTTTTTGTAAAGATCTCTTAGAAGTAGCAGATATTTTGGGTAAAGCTACAGAAAGTGTACCAAAAGATGAACTTACAGAAAAGAATCCACATTTAAAGACTTTATATGAAGGATTAAGAATGACTGAAGCACAACTACACAAAGTAAATCAGAAGTTATTATCTATTCAACTGTGTTTGTGTGAAATATGTATTAAAATCTTTTGTCTTTTATAGGTGTTTAAGAAACATGGTTTAGTTTCATTAAATCCTTTGAATGAAAAATTTGATCCTAATCAACATGAGGCACTATTTCAACAGGTATGAATATATCATATGAGTCATGATTCATAAATTAGGTAGTCAGTAACATGTAATATATTTTTGCAGGAAGTAGAAGGTAAAGAACCTGGAACAGTTGTAGTAGTATCAAAATTGGGATACAAACTACACGAACGAATAGTAAGACCAGCATTAGTGGGTGTTGCTAAGGGATAAATTGCGATTTTATGTGAATTGATTCATATTGGATTGGATGAAATCCTTAAAAGGATATCAGTGACCAATGCTGGAATACAAATACTGTAATAAAAATTGAAATGTAAAACACTTACCAAGTACATGAATGTTAAAATATTGATATTGAAACTAAGCAAAGTATACAAATTTTACTAGATGCAAATTTGTTTTCATCAGTAGACTACTTATTTTTTTTATCAAACAAAGAAAAATGTAATATATATTAAAATTTTTCTTTTATTAATGAAAATAGATGTATATGTAGTTAAACAAATCATTCCTTTTTTTCATACCATGTTTTGTATTTATTACCTTTCTATATAAAAATATAAAAAATTATGTTAGATCTCAGTAGAGCATCTGCACTACAATCAATTAAATAAATATAGTATCATACAATCAGAAATAAATATACCTTGATGAATGTCCAATCATTAAATACATCTAACATCTCTCAAAAACTTTGTACAAATCGGGCAAATTGGCTATCTGTAGTATTGTCGAATCATGTGCAAAATATTTAGGAGGAAGTAAACTCTCTTTAATTGCAGAATATAAAACATGTTCTGTAATATACTTCCAGTCGTGAGAATTATGTACAGGATTCATTTGACTGTAATATTTTGCCGTTTCTCTGCAAACCGTTCGAAAACATGGTTGTTCTGCTGACCATTCTACCTCAGTAGCTAGACGCAATATATAAAGCGGAAGACCAGCTTCGTTTGGAAAATATTTTTCTAAATAAAGGAAAAAGAATAATGAATTTAATGATATTTGTTGAACATCAATTGTGAAAAGAATCTTACCTAGTAATACTGGCAAAGATTTTAAGTTTCCCTGCTTGTCTATAACAATAGAGAAATACTCCTTTAACATATCCACCTTTTCCAATAACAATTCCTTAACACTTGTAGCTAGTTCTTCTTTTGGTCCATCATCCTCTGTCCACCCAGCTTCTTCTGTATTTAATCCTAATATTGCTAATTCATATAAAGGAATTGCTTCCTAAAAGTGAATATAAATTGACACATAATGATAATACCTTTATTTATTGTTTTACTTACTGAAAATTTTATGACTCCATAATTCGCAAAATCATACAGCATAATTTCATAAAAAAGCTGCTCTCTAAAAAAGGAAAAATACAATTTCTCATAATTGTTATTGATGTTTTGCAAATGATATCTTGCCAATACTTACGCTAATTTTTTCGTGTCGCAGAGATATAAATTAACTCCACTTTGAATGAGTGCAGACGATTCATCTATACAACCAACAAAACTTAAGCCTGCTAAAATTTCCCTCAGCCCTTCATGACATTCATTTTCTATTTCTTTACGCAATTTTAATACACTTGTTAACTTTACTTCTCTCCTAAAATTGTTTATAGAATACGACTTAAACTCACGTTTACTCTCAACATCATCTTTTTTATTATCAGACTCTTTTGAAGATTGTGCATCTGTAGTTTTTATTTCATCAAATTTATTTTCGTCAGTTTTGTCAACTTTTGTTTCTTCCTTCTCTGATACGGTATTTTTATTTCCAAAACATTTGTACACTTGTTTACGCGCTTTGTCCGCGATTACATCAATGCATTTTTCTTTGATAGAATCATCTTTATTTTTCATAGAATCATTTATTATATTTTCGCCAAAACTGTCATTTGTAATTTCAAAAATTTCGTCTATATTATCTAATCTGTACTCGTCTTGTTTATTGTCATTTTTAGTTGTAGAAGCTAAGTTAGAAGTAGTAGGTACTATTAATTCTGACGATGCAGATGGACTTGTATCATTAATTATATGACTCCATGGTGTAGATTTTTCTGTTTCTTTCACTTCAATTGGGGTTGATATATTTTCCTGCTTTGTATCATCTGCATTTGATGTTAAGCATTGTATATTATCTGTTTCTTTATCTAACATATAGTCATTTGGAATTGATTCATTTTGCGCGACATTACTTGTACGATTATCAGACGGAGTAATATCGACATTCCTAGCATGTTTCATCGCCGTGTGAATAGTAAAATTAAATTTGTCTAATTTCTGATCAGATGAATCAGTTCTGATCATTTCTTGAGGGCGAATTTTTTTTGTTTTATCATTATTTCCTTGCTCATATTCCGGCAAAACTTCTTTTAAAACTTCTTTAGTAATATCTGCCTTCGGTAACCGCGCTTGGACATAGAACGTTCTGGAGGCACTGTTTCCAGAAAGTCTTTCATCTAAACTTTGTTTTATTTTTTCAATAATGATATTTTCATGAAGAAATTTAACTTCATGTTTTGTTGGATGTACATTGACATCAACATTCTGTGGTTCAATTTCTAAAGATATGTAACACCATGGATGAGTCTTTTTTGGAAGATAGAAAGTATAAAGCTCTTCTAACATTTTACGGATTACTGGAACAAAATAACTATAAAGATTGATGTGGACATATAAAAATAATCTGTCTTAATATAATGAAACTTACAAGAAGATTCTACTAGTCTATTATTGATGAACAATAGAAGCACCATCTTTTTATTGGTACAATTTGGGTTTGTTATTAAAGCATGCAGTTTGAATTTATGGGCTTTATCTGTAAGTTCCACTTCTAATAATTCACGAAAGACAGAGTTACCATATAATATTCTTACATTGTTCATTTTAGTTGAATTATGTGGTGTACGAACCTGCACATTAAAAAATATTAATATAATCATATATATTAACATTCAGACAAATTTAAAATACCTGAGGTGTTATTTCACCATGCTTTTTCAATACAAATCCTACATTAGGATTATGTACCGCATATTTTGTAACAACATCTGTGATTTTGTTGAATTCCTCAACTGGATTTGATAATGCCTTTCTTCGTGTTGCAACATTATAAAACAAGTTTTCAATCATTATTGTGGTACCTTGATTTCCAGCACATGGTTTAGGTGGTGCTTTAATCTTACTATCAATATATGATGCCCTAATGCAATAGAAAAGTTGTTAGGAAAACTGCAACTACTTAAATTGTAGACAAATATTTAGCTTACATACTTATAGGCACATTTTTCATCTGCAGTTTTTGTTGTGATTGTTAAAAGAGCTATGTGACTAATGCTTGACAAAGCCTCTCCACGAAATCCAAAAGTTGATATTGATTGAAGATCCTCAAATGTTTGTAATTTACTTGTTGTAAATCGTTCACAAACGATTTCCATATCTTCTTTTCTAATACCTGTGCCATTGTCCTGAATCTGAAAATAAGATTAAATACCTAGTTAGTATAATGATATATTTGCTTTGATTTTTGTGTAAAATACCTGTAATAGTTTTAATCCGCCTTCTTTAACGGTAATTTGAATATTAGTAGCTTTTGCGTCAAGACTGCAATGTTAATAAAAGATAAATTATAATACAAAAGAGATATGTGACTAACGGCACATCACTGTACGTGTGACTAACCTGTTTTCAATTAATTCTTTTAATGCATTTGCTGGTCTCTGTACCACTTCACCAGCTGCAATTCTATTTACTACGACATCATCTAATTTCTTAATTTTTCCTGGTGTTGTCATATTCAATAATACTATATTTAGAATTTGATAGAATTCTCGAGAAGTGAATCCTAAATTTTATGTTCTATTACACAAATCATCATTCATAATGTTTGTAAAGTGAGTGATGTAAAATAATTAAATTTGATGTAAAAAAAGGAAGGAAATAAACAATTTTCAATATGTGTTTTGTATTATTAATGGAAATACATTATATTGCGTAATTCTTTTAAATCCTATATGCGCGCCAAGTTTTTGAGTCTCAAATATATATCAAGTGAACGATCAGAGCCAACTTAAATAATAATATAGAATATCTCTAATTACATTGTTGTTTGTTGTTGTATTCTTTTGTAAACAACATGATAAAAAAATTCTGGAAATTTTCAAAAAAAGCATAAAGAATCGAGAAGATTCCTACTTTAAATACTGATTTTAGTTCATCAATAACATCAAATGATGATTTACATTAGTACCACAGTATAGTACTATTCACGATCTAACTGAAGTTATTTTTACATAAAATATTCTCTCAGCATTGTTAATATATTAACATGTTTAGAGCTAATAAACTTCATGTGATGTAGGTTGCTTTTAATTTAGGACATATGTACATTTAAAATGTGTTATAAAGATCTAAATATATAATATACACAATACGTTTACGCAGTTATTTTTATAGCGATCATCGGACTATACTTGATGTCACGAGAGTCCATAACTGCGAAAAGACCAGTTTTCGTTCTTTTCTGCGCATCGTCGCTCTGATTGGCGATACTTCTAGCGGAAGTGGAAAGCGATTGGCGGATCGCTTTCCCCCACCATCGCTGCGTTCCCCTACCATCTTTCAACCTGTGCACTTAGTTATGGACTCTCGTGACATCAAGTATACATATCTTGAATTCATATCTGCGTTCTGACGGACCTATGCGTTTTGTTCGAAATCCAGAACTTTCTGCATCGAAATATTTAATTGCATATTTATTAAATGTTGATATAACATCAATATCTATTTGTATTAAAGTGTTTTTCAAAAGTCTGGCTGTTAAATATTAAAAAGTAACATTGAATTCACATGTTCCTTTCATAAGTAACATTGAATTTATGTTTTTATATAATTATAGGTAAATGACTTTCGGGACAAATAAGAAAAACTTGGACGCGCTAATTATAACTGCGGACTTAAATGAATTGCGTATGTTCCAGTATCTTTCTGTGTTTCTCGAACGTTCTTTCTCTTTCTGTTGAAACGTTGAGAATCGTTTCGATATATTTATCCCTGTTCTCGATGCGTCGAGAACTCTGAGCCAATGAGAGTCCGGCGTTGAATCACGAAGCTGCTCTGATTGGGCATCTACCGAAGCTTCTCGAAGCGCGAAATTCAGAGTATTAAAGGCTGCGCAGCGCGCCTCCGAGTCAGAGTGAAATTGTCAAGCGAGCGAGTAACATTGAATTCACGACTAGTGAATACTACGAATACTACAATTTATCAAGGCGAACAAGAAGTAAACGAAACATTAGGTAAGTTTCCTGTGGATTCATCGTGAATAAGTGAATTTGTTTAAATAATTTGACAAGTTATCAAATTCAAGTGCGTGGATACTCGGAACGTTTGTTGAACGTTTAAAACGTGTTGAAGTTATGTTGTATCGACGGAATATCGACATTGGAATTTGATTGTTTTTATAATTTGAAAATACCAGTAAATTTTTAGTTGAATTTTGGCTTCAAATTTGTGTTTTTGGATTGCTACGATTTTAATTTACTGTGAACTTAACTAAGTGAATCGTGGAAAGCAACGATACGTATTTTCGGAGATAGCGATTACGGTTATTGCGTCGTATTGTTTCGAGTATTCTATTGCATTTGTAGAATATAATTTTGCTATTAAATAAAATTAAATAGAAAATTTGGAAAATGAAATGATTTTTTACTGGTTTTATTTTTTGTCTACAGCAAGCAAAAATGTCGAAAGCTCCAGCAGTTGGAATCGATTTGGGCACAACCTACTCCTGCGTGGGTGTTTTCCAGCATGGAAAGGTTGAGATCATCGCAAATGACCAAGGAAATCGAACGACACCGAGTTATGTTGCCTTCACAGACACCGAAAGGCTAATTGGTGATGCGGCCAAAAACCAGGTCGCTATGAATCCATCAAATACCATCTTTGGTAAGTGCATTAAACTACAATTTCAAAATCTATTTTTTTTCTATCACCTTTCCCTGCTTATTTTCCGACACAGCAATGTTTTATTTTCGTTTCTGATTATCGATGATATATCGTTATGATAACGTTTCTAGATAAAGATACAAAATTGTTTTACGCGTGTTATGTAATTTAGAAAATTATAGTACTCTGTTGATCCCCGCCTCCTATATTTTGAAATTTCTTGCGCATCAGACGTGTTCTATATTTAAAAATATATATCGCTGTTGTTTGCACACATGCAGACGGATAGATTAGTCATCTCGCGGCGTTTTTAACTGACCTTGCACAACTATATACTCCGCATTCATTCATAATGCATCCAAGCATATCCAATATCCATAGATCACCTACCCAAACAATTGTTCACCTTGATGCAAATGATATCGATTATTAATGAATCATTATTTTCATCTACAGATGCCAAGAGATTGATCGGTCGTCGCTTCGATGATCCAGCGGTACAGAGCGATATGAAACACTGGCCGTTCACGGTAATGAACGAGGGAGGAAGACCAAAGATCAAGGTCTCGTACAAGGGTGAAGAGAAGTCATTCTTTCCTGAAGAAGTGTCTTCGATGGTTCTGACAAAGATGAAGGAAATAGCTGAAGCGTTCTTAGGAAAAACAGTCACGGATGCCGTGATCACCGTGCCAGCGTACTTCAACGATTCACAGAGGCAAGCCACGAAAGACGCGGGTGCGATTGCTGGACTGAACGTTTTGAGAATCATCAACGAGCCCACGGCGGCAGCGATCGCTTATGGCTTGGATAAGAAGGCTAGCGGGGAGAAGAACGTTTTGATCTTCGACCTGGGAGGTGGTACCTTCGATGTGTCTATACTGACCATCGAGGATGGCATCTTCGAGGTGAAATCTACAGCAGGAGACACTCACCTCGGTGGAGAGGACTTCGACAATCGTATGGTGAATCACTTCGTTCAGGAATTCAAGAGGAAATACAAGAAGGACCTCAGCGTGAACAAGAGATCGCTTAGGCGATTGAGAACAGCATGCGAGAGAGCGAAGAGAACTCTGAGCTCATCCACGCAAGCGAGCATAGAGATCGATTCTCTCTTCGAGGGTATCGATTTCTACACTTCCATCACCAGGGCTCGTTTCGAAGAACTTTGCGCGGATCTGTTCAGGAGCACGTTGGAACCGGTAGAGAAGGCTTTGAGGGATGCTAAGATGGACAAATCTCAAATTCACAGCATTGTACTAGTCGGTGGATCGACCAGAATACCAAAGATTCAAAAACTATTGCAAGACTTCTTCAACGGCAAAGAACTTAACAAATCTATCAACCCCGACGAAGCTGTTGCATATGGTGCGGCTGTACAGGCTGCTATCTTGCACGGCGATAAATCTGAGGCTGTTCAAGACTTACTGTTACTGGACGTCACACCACTATCCCTGGGTATCGAAACAGCTGGAGGTGTAATGACCACTTTGATCAAGAGGAACACGACCATCCCGACAAAACAAACGCAAACTTTCACCACCTATTCGGACAATCAACCTGGTGTCTTGATCCAAGTATACGAAGGAGAAAGAGCCATGACCAAAGACAATAACCTTCTTGGAAAGTTCGAACTCACTGGTATCCCACCTGCACCTAGAGGCGTGCCTCAGATTGAAGTCACATTCGATATTGACGCTAATGGTATGTATCATTTTTTTAAGTTACCAACTCTTAAATTATGTTCACGGTATGCTAAACGATTCCTTGCTATTTTTTCAGGTATTCTAAATGTCTCTGCCGTTGAGAAATCGACTGGAAAGGAGAACAAGATCACAATCACGAACGACAAGGGAAGATTGTCGAAAGAAGATATCGAGAGGATGGTGAACGAAGCGGAGCAATATCGTAACGAGGATGAACAACAACGGGAGAGGATAATTGCGAAGAACGCTTTGGAGTCGTACTGCTTCAACATGAAGAGCACTATGGAGGATGAGAAGATCAAAGATAAGATCGATCCATCCGACAAAGAGAAGGTCCTCAACAAATGCAACGAAGTGATCTCGTGGTTGGACAGGAATCAGTTGGCGGAGAAGGAAGAGTTCGTGGATAAACAGAAGGAATTAGAATCCGTCTGCAGTCCCATCGTCGCGAAATTGTACCAAGGAGCTGGCGGAGCACCTGGAGGTTTTCCAGGTGGTGCACCTGGCGCTGGCTTCCCGGGTGCTCCTGGAGGAGGTGCCACTGGCGGTGGTGCTGGCGGCGGACCAACCATTGAAGAAGTTGATTAAATACTACCACCTCATCCTCATCGTTATCTACAGCACTGAAACACACTTTCTCATTTCCGTTTAGTCATTTAATACATATTTTTGTACAGTCATGATCCACCTATTTTCCTATTTCTGAACCAGTGATACACATTTTGTGAGATAAGACTTTTCGTGTAAGAGTATTGTTAATTTAATTAAAATATACGTATATAATTTGTTATATAAAACAAGATGGAGTAATTACTTTATCATCCCGATATACTCCTTGTAATTTTAATCTTCTATAATTTTGTTGTTTCCTTTTGATATGCTTTAAAAATGTTCGGGTTTGTAGAACTGGACGAGAATAATCAAGTATGTGGTGATAACGCTGATAAACTGAAGAAATATTTATACAAAATGAATATCGCTTAAATAACAAAGTATATATTCGTGATACTTACTCTTGTAAGCAGCGAATTATCCATTTCAAAGAAATCACAGGCTGTAAATGCAATACGATATTGTTGCAATTGCAATGAAAAATCATTAATTTCGTTTCTGACACAGTCTCGTTCAAAGTTTGACCTCAGCAGATTTTCGATTCCAAAACCATTTAAATTTAACGCAGTGTTATCGCCACATATTTCTAATTGTTCCGGTTCCTTGTTTCGAATATTATTGAAAAATGCCAGCTTGTTGAATTTCGTTGAATGTTGAACATTCAAAGTAAATTGGCTTATACATAGACCAATTTTATTTATCTCTCGATGAGTCAGCGTGCACACCCAGCACATTATAACGAATTGCCCTCCGTAGATCATCCATATTATGTTATTTATTAATATGAAACCATTCTTCTTTTCCGCGGCACTCATATAAATTCTGAATAATTTTGCAACTACCATTATGAAAGAATTTGTGGAACATATCAGTAGATCTATACCATAAATCTCATTTACTGTCATTATTACAGAACATATTTCTGCAAAATAAATAAATGTACAGGATTTCGAAAAATTAAGATATATCTTTGAAGCCGGAGTAGCTAAAGGATTAATACTATATACGTGCCATTGTGCAGTCTTCTGATTCTTCTAATCTTCAACGCAGTCCAATGCATATCTGATCCTTCGTCCAATTGCTCGATCATCTCATTGATCGCCCTGAATCTCTGACAGATCATGTACACGATCATGTCAAACACGAAGCTGTTCCCCAGTGTCTGTGAAATCGTGTAATAAAGCAACAAATCCGAAGCAAAGATCTGATCCGGTGCAGTAAAGTAATAGTAGAGAACATGGACGATCAATGACACAGGGCCAGTCAGACAAACCGTCAGAACAGCCAGGTTCTGTCTGATCTTCATTGATCCATCGTTGATAGACACTTCTTTTCCAATATGTAGATCCAAAGACTCGAGCTTCTTCATCAATTCAGGCCATTTGTTGTAATGTTGTACCAAATGGCAGACGTAATAGTACGATGCTACGTGACACATTGTTTCGTTCATCCAGTACATAATTTCGAACAATTGACTGTGAAACACTTTACCGAAATTCACGAAATCCATCGCGCTGAAAGCAACGATCACCGAGCATAAGCCCAAATGAATAACGCGAAGAATGATTGTGATTGAATTTGGACAATTTTGTGGTCGAGCCACTCCGACACCCAGTAACCAGGAGGTGTACATTATTGGGCGCAATTTCTGTTCCGGTTTCGAGACGTTCTCTTCCATTCGAATAGTTATTTCTTCTTCCATCATCGTGTTTCTTTTTAAAACTGACGAGTTTTCTGGCAAGTAGCTCGAATAATCTGTTTCATGTTGAGTCTTGATATTAATCATGTACAATGGTACTTCATAAAAAATAGACGGAAATTTTAGGAATTGAAAGCAATTTTCATATTGCTCGGTGTGTCTGATAAAATCATTGTTGGGGGTGATTTATATACACACGAAAGGGTTTGATAATAGGTCCGATATATGTGTGTGTATATATCGAAAAACGAGCTTTATTTGCCCAACGACTATATTACAATTTTATTATACAGTAAACATTTAAAATGGGATAAAACGATAACGTTGAAACATCGAGCATCATCATTCCTTTAGTTTCTTTTTAGAAATCAGACGGCGGGTCGAGTGGTATAGTTTCAATGCAATTAATCATGAATCGTAATAACAATAATAATGGTAACAACGATAACGATGATGACATTGATGATAATAGTGACGACGATGATTTTAGGCTGGCTGTCATATAATTCTTCAACGATACGATCTCTTTTGTGTAAACAACGATATCGTTCGATCGCGATCAATTTATTAAATTTGGTGTGCAATTTTTCGTTAAACGTGCTTGACTTTTTTTTTTTGTAAAATGATGAGACAATTGGTCACTCTAAGCCTGGTCCATATCTGCATGCTGTTGCCCTGTTAAGGAATTTTAATAATTAGCAAAATGAAAATAAAAAGAAAGTATTGAATTACAAAACCTACGAGTTTTAACTTTTAATTATAATTTAATTTTAGTTTAATTAATCCTCGAATGGTGATGGCCAGATAAATTACGATCTGATTAAAATTACTTACTTTTTCCAAATAAAAACTTTGATATTTATATTGGCATCTTTTTATGTTTGTTTTATAAAAAATTGTATGTAGATGTGAACTAGACCCGAGGACTCAACAACATAGAATCGGATGAACCTTCTGAAGACTTGTCCCTACTTCTTTGTTGCTCTTCTTCTTTTGTCTCTTTAACGTTATTTTTTGGGGGGCGAGGGTAGAGCGGGGTTTTCATCAATTTATTTCGTTTATTATTATTTATTTGATCGGGAAAGGCAGCGTAATTATTCGAACACGAGACGTCGATACACGTTTTGTTCCTTCGGCGTGAAACGCAACACAGCCCCTCGTGCATGATCGCTTCTTACGTATATACACGTATATATTAGAATATGTATATATAGAATATATATAATTTGCTTTTAACGATTTCTTGTTTTTTTTTTTTCTTTTTATCACTACAATTTACATTTGGCGAGTCGAGCGACTCTGAAGGGAAAAGAAAACCGTATTGAACGATGTCGATTCGCGTTAATGAAAAAAAAAAAAAAAAGAAAGGAAAAAGCATATTCCAGGCCATCGAAGTGTTACTGTATTTATCAATGTACTCGGATGTACTCGTTGTAATTGAGGGTAAGAGATTGATTTGAAGGTTGATTCGCGACATTTCGTGATTGCGTGGCATAGAATCCCTAATGAAACGAAAAATAATTAATCGGGTAATTTAGTTAATGAACCTCGAACGATTAATAAATAATTCTTTGAAAGAAACGAATATCCATTTGGTTTCGCGACTGTGTTCCGGCTGGATTGATTTGGTTGTGAACCGTGAAAAGCGACGGAAAAGGGATGACAATCGGTTGTGCTCGACGCAGGTAAGCGAGATAATGAGTTCGCAATAATCGCAGCACAGTTATTAATATTTCTTGCACGATTTTTGCGATCCTGGTGCCAGACGATTCGTTTCGTCGCGACACATCCAAGCACCAGCTTTATATTTTTCACCGTTTCTCTGATTTTCTCTTTTTCTTTTTATTCTTTCAATAATTTATCTAAGATTAAAGGTATATTTAGCCTCGACCCACTCGAGAATGCCCTGCCAATTGCTTTTTCTATCGCAGAAAATTCCGTTCGAGCAAACGAAACTTGTATTTTCACGCAAAACAAAGTTGCAAGTTGATCAATTTTTCTATTATCATTTTCAAACAAGTCTCAACAATGTTTAGATAGATTTTACTACTGTATCTGACACTTTGATAGCCTATCGTAAGTTTATTTCTATGAAGTGTAACAATTATCAATCGAATCGGTAAAATTTGTTTAAATATTAACGGAGTCATAAAATTCCAAAGGGAATGCTATGAAATTTTCGACTATCAAAGTGTTGAGTGACTGTATTTTTCATTCGATTGAAACAATCATTTTTCAATTTTTCTCTCCATATCCGTTCAAGATTTCGAATTATTTTCTTCCTTGATTGATATGTGATCAAATACCTTTGTACCAGTAGAAACTTGTTGATCGTTAAAAAGTTAAGATGAAATAAGGAATCGTAGAGTTGAATAGTGCACACGTTTAGAGTCTACTGTTTCTTCGTAAAATGATCGTTGATATAAGAAAGAAAGGGTTGATATTTCATTGATATGTAATAATTAAATCGTAAAAGGAAGATCCCTTATACCGAACATCGTACTGTAAACTGTTCTCTGTCTATTCTCTATCTGTTCGTTCGAATCGTTATAAAAAACTCTACACTGTCGAACCAATGACTGTTAAATGCTTAAAAAATTTAAGCCGTAAAAAATCATTCTTTTCCTTGTCCGCAAAGTGGCTCGACCCGCGAAACGAATTAAAATTTATCCTTCGAGCGAAACATCTTTGTTATACAATGAGTTGAAACTCGCATTTGATACGTAATAATCATTATTCGAGCGTTTGCGACTTTAACAGACAAGGAATCTTTCGCTGCTGGACCAGAATTCCCGCGAATTCCCTCTTAACCCTTAAATGATACAGCAAGCGTCAACCTTATTCAGGTACAACATCGTACACCTACGCGAGGGTGACAGGTGTACTCCTGAATGTTACGTATTATTTTCAAAGCCAAACGTTGCTCGTTCGACCGAAAATTTCTTGTTTGCTGAAAGCTGGCTCCAATATGCGAGAACCATCCATAGCTAGGTAATAAAAACATATCTTTTAGAATAAATTCTAGGCCATCGCGCGTGGCACAAGCAAACATCAGCGTCAACAATTCGTCTCGTCGTTAATCCATACCCGTTTCATCTAAGCACCCTTATGTGACAGAGCATTCGTGTATAATCTTGCACGTCTTTCAATGTTTCTTAGGCGAGCGACGTTCTCTTTCTCTCTCTCTCTTTTTTTTTTTTTTACCCATTTAAGCATCAATTAAACCGTGCTGTTACGTGCTTTATACGTGTACCGTGTTCTCTGTTGGCGATATTTCGTTTCACTTCGATTCGAGTCTCGTGGATCGTTTTCATCTTAACTACACTTGAAAAATGTCACCGGTCGCGCGCGGTGCGATGTTCGTTTCGAAGATGGACGTTGTCGAGGTTGTAACCGGGGATTTTTCACCGAATCTGTTCACATTCGTCGCCGTGATCGCTGTCGTCTTTGCCGTCGTTTCCTCGGTCGTGTCCGACGTTGTGGGCACCTGCTGATTTATAAAAATGTTGCGATCATGAACCAAGTTTGAAGCCACCTTAGGGTGGCATTTGGTTTTTCGATATTGAGATATTTAGGAGGAGCTCGTATCCAAAATGGAATTTTACTAAAAATCTTGACCTTTTACTGAGAAGTTATTTTCTAACGTTACTTTGCTTATGCGAATAGCTGGGGCGTAGGTGGTATCCTTTGAAGAAGGTACATCTACCGACTGCTTGAATAGCTCAGTGGTTACGGTGGTTTTCAAACGGAAGATCCTACACTAAATCTCTCCTCAGATTGTAAAATAAAATGCAAAAAATTCTTGTTTATATCCACTCAATGAAATGGAAGTTCTACGTTATAAGTCTCCTCATGATACCTCGTTATAAAACACTTCCTTCCCTTCCTCTACAGAGGGCAACAATTCATCGGTGGAATGAGGTGTCCTAGGGCTAGGCGTAGGCGCGACTTGTTGTTGCTGTTGCTGTTGTTGCTCCCGTTGTTTAGCCAGCCTGAGTTCCTGAAGAGCTTGCCGTTGTTCCTTCTCGTTTCTCTCCTTTTCGAGTCTTCTCGCGCTGTAACTACGAGCCGAGGATGTCGAACTGTGAACCGAAGTTAAGCTAGGACGACGAGAACCTAGTAGAAACAAGGATAAAATTTCAGTTCGATCACGATGAATACAGGCTCTCCTTCCATTAGTCTCTTTCGCTATACTAGAGGGTTCGATTAGCTAGGCTCTGAATTCGATTAAAAATACGGAATCTAATTTGCGTCTGCTCGACTAATACCAGCGTGGACACTTTCGTTTATTCTATTTCTCGTCGTCTAAGGGGCTATAACACTGTGCAACGTTTAATAAACTATGAAACTTTGAATGGTTGAACTGTTCGAATAGAAATTCATTAATTCGAACAGTTCAATTACTCAAAATTAAAATCCGAATTCTACTGGTATTCGAATTTTCGCAACAGCCCGCTCGTTCAACCCTTCGTTCGCTAACTAAATTGATCGTAAACGGTAACGCAAGCTCGACGATTACACCGAAATTCTAATCGTATACTTCGTTCTTGTTTCGTTCTAACTCTTTCGAAACCGATGGTGGGATATCTCGGGTCGCGAGACGAGTGGAGTCAGGGGTGGTTTGGACGATTGAAGGAAATCAGGGGTGCAAAGTAACGTGTTCGTAAAATTGAAGAAAGAGGAACGTACAGTGTCGTTTTTTTCTTTTTTTTTTTTCTCGTACCGTGTTCGAGTGATTGTGCAAATTGTAAGTGTAAAGAATCTGTGTCGTGTCAAGTGCGCGACAGATGCGTTCTCTTCAGCGTGCAATAAGCGCACACACACACGAAAGCGAGCGTTAACGAGTATCCTTTTCGAACATTATTCATATTAAAAAATTGCCAATTTAAATTAAATAAAAAATAAATTGATTTATATTCGATAACGCCCAAGTTTTGTTCGCGACCAAGTATCCAAGCTGTCTAACTCGTATGCCAATTCGTTTCGAGTCGTAGTGATTTCTCGGTAAGACCTTGATGCTGAATATTAAAAAGTAAAAAAAAGAAATCAATTTGAACAAGATTCGCGAAATTATACAAGGGATAAGAGTCATCGACGCGTTACACGTTACCGGTGTAGTCGAGGGTGCAAACATTCGTGAGTACGTCTTAAGTGTTTCTAATTCAGGGAGCTCGTTAGGAGTTGTTATCGATTGACGAAAGGTGAACAGAAAACACGGCCAAACAGAGACAGAGCAACAGTACACACGCGTGCATATGGTTGCATACACAGAGAACGAGGATAGTTTGTACGAAAAAGCAGAAAAGCATCGCTCGAGGCGTGTATGTATATTTGTTGTTCGATTTTCAGCAAGCACATCTATAGCAGATAAAATTCGTGTATTATTTTGGCTGTCCTCCATACATTCTGCACGGTATAATAAATCAATAAGTCCATTACCATTTTGGCATGCAAGCGAGTGAAAATTAAATATTCGTCTCCATCCTTTCCATCCTTTTTATTAAGTATAAAAGGGAACTTAAAATTGCAAAAGTCAAAGTTAAGCTGAAATCACGTTCAGAATTTCTATATTTTCAAATTATCCATTTCCTACGTAAATACACGAATTTTTCACTATGATTATTAGCCAGGCAAAGCGAGGATCGGATAATAATTCCTTTGATCAAGCGTCGAGTCTTGTAAGCTCGCCAGATAGAAAGCAAAAACGGTCAAGCAAAAATTGGTAAGTACATATTCATTTCTTTTTTTCCTCTTCTTTACTCGCTGTCGGTTTTCAAAGCGACATTTAACCGAGCAGCCAGCAAATAAAGCCAGCTAAAAACTTGGCAAGCTTAATTGGAAGTTTCAAGCGCCGTTTTAAGGGCGCGAAGCTGACACGTCTCATTAAAAATCGACGTACAAACCATATACATATAATGTTATTTAGCACCCGAAAAGCTTGGCTCTCTCGCATGCGAACTGACGCTGTATTTTTTTTTTTTTCCATTTCTTTTATCCTTAATTTTATTTTTTGCGTGCGTGTGCAGCGAGCTAGCTAGTGCGTAAAGATTTCGTGTCTCTCTACGTCTTACCAGAGAACGTTCGTTCGTTAACGAGCAACGAAATCGGCCGCTGCCATCTTGCTATCTCGTAACACACTCGTGCAGCACTTTATATATATATATATATATATATATAATATTATATATATATTGTTAAGATACACATTAGAATCGTTTCACGTGACAATGTAGCATTTTGTGTTCGATTCTCGAGAAGCCACACGTATGTGTACGTGTACTTATATTTTTTGACATACTTGAGATGAATGTGTAAAAGACACACGATCGACAGGTGTGATACAGATATATACTTTTTCTCTTCTATATTTTTTGAGGATTGTTTTTGGGTAGCACCGTACACGGCCATCGTCGGTGAAAATGTTGAAAATCGTTGCGTCAAAGGAAGGAACAACGTTTTCTATTTCGTGGGCGAAAACGATAGAGAAAGAAGGGTGGGCTGTTCGTGTCCGGTTAGGAAAAAAACGATCAAACTTGGACGTTTACGTTTCCCTTCGTTCCTCGAACGGATCGATCCGTTCTAAATCGCGATCGATGATCGTCGATCGGTTGAACGACGGGCAAAGAAAACGTCGGGAAACGTAAACTGGTCGGGTGTAGAAAACTGGGTGCTAAAAATATCAATAAACAACGACTACACAACAGCGACAATATTCGAAGCACCACCACCATCTTCTTCTTCGTCATCGGTGTCGGGGAGGATGACAAATAATAGTAAAAAAGTATAGAAAATACTCATACGGAGAACTACCCAAGTGTTACACTCACTTATTAATGAAACTTTGCCAGCTTGTAGAGCTCGTCGAGCTGAACACGCCTATACCCCGTTTTGTGGACAGACGGCTAATTGTTTAAAAGATATTAACAATTACAGTTAGTTACTCCTTACATTGTAAAGTATGACAAACTCACACATACAACTCGCAATCTAGAGATCCACGGTTCAAATCTTTGGTTCTCAACATTTTATTTTTTTTTTTTAATGATAATTTGTCTCTTTTTGAATAACTATTACATAAAAATTATCATAAAAAAAAAAAAAAATTGTTGGGAACCAAGGATTTGAACCGAGGACCTTCAGATTGCGAGTCATGGATCCGCTCCGTGGTTAAACACATGACTCGCAATCTAAAGGTCCTCGGTTCAAATCCTTGGTTCCCATTTTTTTTTTTTTTTTTTTTTTTTTCAGCTCGACGAGCTCTACAAGCTGGCAAAGTTTCATTAATAATTGAGTGTAACACTTGGGTAGTTTCCCTTGTCAGACGGGTTTATAAAAAAGAAAAAAAAAGAAAAGAAAAGGAAAACCAATTAATAAGTAATTTGACGCAATCAATGTTTAATTTCCAAATCATCAAACGTTGCGTCAAATGTTCAGAATCATCGTGTTTGGTGGATGAATGACGAAAGAAGAAAGAAGGAGGAACATGGTTATTCGAACGGATTATTCGAACGAGAATCAGAATCAGAAGAAGAAGAAGAAGAAGAAGAAGAAGAAGACAGGGAAGAGAGAAACGGACACAGATAAGTTTTGGTGTAAACAGAGTATGTGTGAGAAAGAGAGATAGAGATAGAGATAGATGCAGAGAGGGTTATACAGAGAAGAGAAGACAGAGAACGAAAGATTTTTTAGAAAGAGATCGTTGATCGTCTACCGAGGCCGTCGGACGATCCCTCAGCAACGTCGCTAAGGGTACGTCGATGCTTGTTCCCGCCTTTGGTCGCCTGCAGGTGACACGATATAAGCAAGATGGCGGCGGCACGTGCCGCACCTGCTCTCGACGCTGGTACCAGAGGACCACGGCTACCACCGCTGCTTGGCCTCCTGGTGAACGCGTACGTCAACGGTCCTCCGGTGCTGCTTCTTTGACTGGAACGCGAGGATGGTCGGCCTCCGTGGAGCGTCAGTGGGATACCTGTTGGATCGTTTCGATTACATCCCCCTTTTTCTTCCATCCAAATCACACTGTTTACGCGAGTATTTGGTCCTTTCTCTTGTTTTTTTTTTTCTCTTTCAAAGTATCGTCTCGTGGTTCTAAGACTCTCTTCAACATCTGGATTAAGTCTGGATTATGTTAGAACAATTTTTTATTAGCAGTCTTTGTAAAATTACCCTTCCAACTGATCGATGACAAGATATGAGAGGGTTGACTTTGATCGAGGGAATTGATCTTTTAAGATTCTCATCAAGGTCTTGAGTAAGTTTGGGGTAAGTTTGAGTTAGGTTTGTGAGTGATTAAATAGTAACTTGCGACGAAACTGAGGAGAGGAGAAACTGAGCTGTAATCAACGAGGGATTCGAAAGAGTACGGAAGGTTCTCCGGAATTTCCTCCGGTTCTCCAAGGAAAGGATACAGAGCGGAAAGGATTGAAAATATCCTATAAGAGATGGTAATTTTTGCAAGCGACGATTAGGGCCGTTCGAGGTTCTGAGATTCCTTTCAAGGTCCATCCGAGCGAAATAGGGCGAAACGAAAATAGAAGTCTTCGAGAAGGAGGTAGTTCTTCATCGATACTTAGCGTTATTGATTTTTCAACGAAGAGGGTGGCCCCTTTAATGGGATATAAACGCGGTTGAAGTTACCTCCGCAATGATTATAGGCATATGAACGAATAAATTATAACGAGATCGAACGATGAATTCGTACAAGATTGTTTGTTTTCCGATCCGATCAATCTGTTGCTCACGAGTACTCACCTGTGTCGCTGGAGAACAGCATGGGCGGCGCGTGATTGGCGTTGGCATAATGCCGTGGCCTTGAGTATCTTGCACGACTGAATAATTTGAGCACGAAACATATCATTGCCGTGAATATTGCTATTCCGGACGCTATGCAGAGTAAGGTTGGGATATCCGTAGTTATCAGCACCAGATCTGCCAACAAATCACGATTTCAAAAAAACTTTCATCTTACAACTGTACGTTTTATTAGGTCGACCTAAAAATTTGTGCCATTTTTTTATATCCATGATTATACGAAGAAACGAAGAAACGACACAAATCTTTTAGACAATCTAACAGATTTATAATTAAAATTTCTAAGAACTACGTATCGTAAATCGTTCAGGGAATAGAAGTTTGACAATAATTTGGCACAGTGTACCTTCGGCGCAGAACACCTTCTTGTTAGGCCTGGACAAGGCGACTCTGTGATAACCCTCTTCGCAGTCGCACACTGCATTGTGCTGCACCTGGGTGCAGGTCGAGTGCTGATCCGCAAAAGTGCAAGTCGCGCGATAGAAGCATTGCTCTCCGAGTTTTTTAGCTGGAAAACCGATTGAATAGTTACATTTCTTTGGTCGGCCTTAAAATTCAAAGCGAATACTCGCTTGAAATACCATCTAGTTTTATGAAAACCGAGAGAGAGACGAGTTTGAAATAATCGAACGATTTCTAAAGAATCGACACGGAGTAAAACATGAAACGTTCATTCACGGGGGAACAATTCAAGCCCATCGACGTTTGTTTTCCTGCGTCGGAGAGTTTTCATATCGGAGTAACCTAGTTAAAGGTACAACAAGGATCGGGTATAACGCTTTTACATACGTTTGGCACATCCTTTGCTAGGCCCAAGACGAACTGGATAGAATTTCTCGCACTCGCAGTGGCCAGTGACCGTGTCGCAGAACACATGCTGCAGTTCCGGATTGCACGAGACATCGCACGGCGAGCCCAGGTACTGTCCCTTTGCTGAAAAACAGGATAAATCAATAGCTTTTACTAGATTATGTACGATACTACACATGTGTAGGTTGTTCTTTAAATAGAAAACTTTGCTTCGACCTAATCAAACGTAACCGTTTTAATAAAACACGGAATCAAATATTTCCTTTCTGGTGTTTATTTTGAAACTTTAAAGTTCAATCTTAAAGGCTGTCTTTCTAAGAGTAACATCATGTGAAAGTTAAGCTTTCGTAGCTTTAAGACTGAAGCTTTAAGATTCACCCCTCGAAGCTCTCAAGATTAAAGTGGAGAAGTTAACAATCGATCTCCGATATTATATCTCCTTTATTTCCTAAAAAATGTAATGACTCTTGGCAATCAAGTAAAAACATTGAAACATTAATTTAATAAAATCTAGTATTTTCAATTGTTATTATATCGCACTCGAATACAAGTGTAGGTCTGTTTCAAAGCATTATTTCATTCCTCGATACGGGTCTTTGTTACTCTTTGACATGCAGCTACTGCCTCTTGTTGCTGGCGTTTGTTTGTCCTGTCATGAATGCGCATACATTCTGAACGATTAATGAAGCAAAGAAGCTATTGTCGTGCATTCTAACCAGGCCTTACTAGCTCGCATCAAAAAGACATTCGTTCGATATCCCTGTGCTTCTTTTCCGTAAACGACCATCTAAAAATACCTATACCCGTCCTCGTTCGATATCTTATAGAAATTTTTTCCACCAGCCGCCATCAACTTATTGTTTTAATTAATCGCGAGTATTCGAAATTAGGCAATGCGCCAGACGAGGGTGGCTATCGATTCACCTTTAATTATCCCGTTGTATATCGTTTATTAAATGTTTCCTGGCGTGAGCCTGCATTTAAGGAGGGCTCGTAACAACGATTAACTTTCTTGGCAAACGTTCAGAAGCGTATCGTTCTCGCGTGTAGCCCAATTAAGCTTTCCCGAGGTTAAGCTTTCTCTGCGTTACCCTGCAATCAGTACTTTTGTCTGAAAATTGCCTTCTGCCATTAAGATTCACCTTCTTCCGATCGATCAGCGAAACTGCCGCACGCTGAATGGAGGGTGGTGCTCGAGTATACTACGTCAAGTTAAGGATGAAATAAAGATTCGTGAATTTTCTTTTTCTTTGACCTGATTCCACGAGTTCGGCGCGTAATCAATGGGGTCAAACGATTTACACTTAGCGACGTTCTTGTCCGGTTATGGAGCTGTTTCTCGAGCTTTCTACGGTGAATGAATCGGCATGAGAACCGGGATGAATGACGCACGGGATTCTCTTCTTTAACCCTCTTTTTCCTCTCGTTCTCGTTTTCCCTGCTGGTTTAGTAGTGCATGGGTGAGGAGAGAGAGAGAGAAAGAGAGAGATCCCTTTGAATCTCACGCAGCTGCAGGCGGTGTGCAAACTCCCACATGCGGACACCGAAGAGCTTGCAGCATCCATTAAAATCAATACCGGCAGCGTGGTTGGCGCGAAAATCGAGAAGGACCAGTTTCTCTTCCATAACACGCTCGCGCAAGCGTACTCGTCGACTTCAACGTATAATATTTGTTTTTCTTTCGTTCAGTTCCGGTTTTGTTTCCTCCATTTCCGTGACGAAAAATAGCAACTCGAGATTTGACAATTTCGAAAGAATCTCTGAGATGATCTCTGTGGAAGAGGTTCGTCTGCGATAGCGATACATTGACCGATCAATTGCAAACGTTCAGATAACGATGGCGATGATAATAAACTGTTTACCGCTCGACTGAAGCTTCTGGAGCAAAGTGTTTGCACGTTCGTATCGAGCAGGCGCGAAAAAGGCAAGGCAAGTGTTTCGAGGTACACACGCGTTTGTTCGATCGTCCTTGTTTCGCGAGAAAATGAGATAACGCTCTTCCTGTGAAGAGCTCCTATCGATTCTAAAGCAAACTATCGAGCGCTTAATTCTTCTGCAAGCAATCTACCCATTTCTATATTTCCTTTACCAATCTTTATATTGCAAAACCGTTTTTGATCTTCATTACTTTGGACACTTTTATAAAATTTCAAACATAAGCTTCAGTACGTATTCGGCTGCCTATGCGAGAGTTAGAGTGTGCCAATTAGGTCAAATTAAAATGTAATTAGCTCTGAAATGTTCGTCTCCGTTTGAACAATAATTTCAACACGTCTGATATTCGTCGAACAAATACCTCCCCAAAAAATCACTATCATGAGCAAAAATTCAGCAAGGGTGTCGCCACCCAAGTGTACAGGTTCCCTGGTACCGAATTTAGGTCGACAACGACTGGGTCCATCCTTTTCGTAGCTAGTTTCTCCTCGTCGCGTTTCATTCTGAATTGACAATTAAATTTTGATAATGATAAGCAAAGTCGTAAATTAGACCCTTAAGAAGCGGCATTGATTGTTTTAGGGTTCTATTGCGAAAGGTACATTGACACTTTATCAGATCCTAAGTTTCAAGCGTATGTGTCTCCATATATCATTTGCTAAGCTGCTGATTCGATGATTGGATTTCGTGTATTGTGCAGAGGTGGAAAGATGTTCAACGGAGCGACACAGGGATAATAGGGCTGGGTACTTTGCTTGTTCCGCTCGACTTTCTTAACAGTAGGGGATGATAACTGAAGTAGTTTGAGGTTTTCTATCATTTTATCCCTTTGATCTTGACTTTTTTCGTTTGCTTTCTTTCTTATTCGATGCTACATGAGTAAAAGGAGAGAAGTGCGTATTAGAAAAGGTGGACATCCTTCCAGTTCTGCGCAGAACTTTCATATCCTGAACAATCTTGTAGACTCTCTAAATCGCCATCTCTCTAGCTTCAGCTAATATTAAGGTATCTATCCACTAGAGAGTAAAACTTTTGCCGGAAATTATCAAGAGTTTCTCGCAAACGGATACGTATGGCGATTAGGACCCAATGGTATCTGACACTCACCCGCAGTGACGTTCTCCTCGAGGTAGTCCTCCTCGTCGTCATAGAGATCGTCTTCGTCGTTGATGTAACTGGAACCGTGCACGTCATCACCTGGCAGTAGTTGATGGGTCAGTCGATCCGGTCGCGTGTCGCAGCTGCAGCCGGATACCAGGAAGACCAGGTAGATAAGCAGGAGTAGCCAGGAACGGCAGCAGGTCAGTCTCAGGGCGGAGGGAAGTGCTCTCATCGCCCCCGCGGCGCGAGTCAACCCCCGAAACCGACCACCGGCGGCGCATCGACATCCTTTTCCGTCGCCTGCCCTCCCCCCCCTCCCCCCTCCCGCCCTCCTGCACGCCCTCTCCTCTCTAATAAACGCCTTATATCGCGTGCAACTTGTCCTTGCAAACTCGCCAGTCCACAAGATCCACGGATTTCACCTATTTGATCTAACCTCGTCTCGATCTCTCTCGACGAGATTCTTTATTTCACACACTCACCCACGCACACCGTCTATGGTGAAACATCGCACGCGCGTAAAAGGCTGGGTTTACCGTGGTTGGCCAAACACGGCCAACGGAGGACGACTATGACCGTGGTGAGAAATCGTGGTTCTCGTCGGACCAGTGCTACCCCGTTCACTGACGCCTTCCTTCCGTTAGCCGGTCGACCACCGCGACTGCAGCTGCGCGATGCCACCCGTTGACCCCTTCCTTCCTCCCCTTCGTGACGCGTCGATTCAGATCAGGGCTGCTCGCGTCCTCTCGTCGACCGACCTACCACGGTGAAGGATTATTGGTTTGTTACCTTTCTGCACGGTTACCTTGAACCGAAACCGATTCCCAATTACACGATCGTAGAAAGGGGATGAGACGGTTCGTCTACCAGGGGGATGGTTGTTGTGGCGTCGTTACTTTTTTTAGGGAGTGGTTCTTGGCTGACTGGGACTTGGAAAGGTCTTGCTGCTTTCTCTTCATCGTGAGTAATTTTAAAAGGATTTGGAAGGATTTTTGTGCTTCGTCTTAAGGGGTGTATCGATAGGCGAACGGGGTTGGAATTTTCAAAAAAGAATCCATCGAAATCTTAATTTACTGCAAGGACTCTATTCTTGATTTCTACGAAGGTCTTTTTAGGAAGTCGCAACGATACTGTAAGAGGGTAGAAGGGGTAATGGAGGTTTGTGTATCGTATTGGAAGAAGTCATTTGGCTTCGTTCGACGTTGCTATAGGATACGAGTATCGACGACAGGGTGGACGAGATTGTTGTACAAAATCTAATTGTGTATTTGATTACAAATCTTGAGACTTAGTGGACAGAAGCGGTCCCTTCGGGTAATAAGCATTGGCTAGAGGTAGATCCTCGGAATATTGTACTCTGAGCAATAACTGAAAAAACAAAACAACAAAACGTCCTTCGTTATTTTTCAGTTTGATAATTTTGCTGAAACAAAGACACGAATGCTGTGAACGTGTACGATAATCATGATTCATACGCGATTTACTCAGCCTGTTCGTTACAAACTGGATAGAAAATTAAACGAGGAAATTGTTCGGCTTATCGTTCCGTGTGCGCTTTTGCGATTCGCGTCGCAGCGGAAGTGAGGCGCCACATTTATCTCGCTTCAAGTTCCATCACCTCGCTTTTTCCTCCGCTGTATTTTCCACAACAGCGTCGCGTGACCCTTTCAAAGCCTACCTTCTTCCATCTTTTTCTTCCGATGTCTACGAATCAGAATGTACGTTGCCATTGTTGCACCTGTCACGATTATAATCGTGACCACTGCTAAAGTGTCAGCCATCGTGGAGACTGAGTTCTTGTTGTTGCTTTGAAATGCCAGATAGCACGGTGACTCTTGAAACGGAGAAGGATTATGCAATGGATAGTATTTGATGATAAAAATAAAAGTTAACTTAAAAGAAAAATACCCATTTCGATGAAACAACCAACCGAGGACGAACCATTGTCAGATGGAACGACGAAGCATAAACTTCTATTACCATTTGCTTGATTACACCGATAACACTGTGGTGCATAATGTCGAGCATCCATTAGAGTATTATTCGTCTTGTTGTGAACAGTGAATCTGTAAATAATATTCTATTAGGTAAATGAATCTCAAGTATTCGTTAACGATACTCACCCATCTAGACTTTTATCACTGGGATCCACCAAAAGGATACAAACGGTGGGTAGGTCGCAATCGGGTCCCGACCAACCGTAAGAACACTCACAACCGTCGCCCACGCAAACACTGTAACCATTGCAAACTCGTCTACAAGATTTCACGCAGCTGTTGTTGTCCCGAGACATCTCGAATCCATCGTGACATCGACACTCGTTCGGTCCCAAGCAATCTCCGTTTTCACAGTTATTCTCGCAGTACGGTACGCAAATGGAATTATTCGTGCGAACGAAACCCTCCAAACATTGGCAGACGTTCGGCTCGACGCAGGTGCCATTGTTACAAGACGAGCAAAACGGTTTGCAAAGACCTTTCCCGTCTTGCAGATAGCCTTCGTTGCAAGTGCAAACATTAGGAGAAGTGCAGCTGCTGTTCGAAGTGCAACTGGTCTCGCAAATAGGTTCGCAATTATTTCCGACATCGTTCATCGTTGGCCCGTATCCTGGATAACAGGTGCAAACGTTAGGCTCGGTGCAGGTACTGTTCGATCCGCAGGGTGTCTGACAGACGGGTTCACAGGTGCTGGAATCGTTACTCGTCGTCGGACGATAACCGGGGTTGCACTGGCAAACGTTTGGCTCGATGCATTTCCCGTTGATGCACTTCTGAATGCAGATCGGCTCGCAGGCTGGCACTTGTTCTCTCGTGGTGTTGTCAGGTATCTGACAATAATTTCATTCGGTGAAATATTAAATATTAATTTAATCGACGAGCTACTTACGTCGTTCTCGATTGGCTCGATCGCTCGGTATCCATCGAAGCAACTGCAAGTGTCCGGCGCGATACAGGTTCCATATGGTTCGCAGAGATTCCTGCAGTAGGGCTTACACACGTGTTTCTCTTCCTCCGGGCCGTTGAACCAGTAGCCATCGTTGCAGGTGCAGACTTCTGGAGTTGTACACACGCCGTTCACGCAAGCTTTCTCGCAGATCGGTTGGCAGTTATATTTCGAGGAGTTCAACAGTCCGTAGCCATCGTCGCAGCTGCAGCTTTCAGGCGCGATGCATTTACCCTTCACGCAAGGTTCACTGCAGATCGGTTCGCAGACGTTCTTCTCGTTCGTTCGATAGCCCGGGTTACAGGTGCAAGTGTTTGGAGCCGTGCAAATGCCAAACAGACAGTTCTGTGTGCATTTCGGTACACATCCGTCGCCGTTGTTCACGTAGCCGCTGTTGCAGATGCAAACGTTTGGCGCGGTGCATTTACCGTTCTCGCATGGTTCCTTGCAGATCGGTATACAAGCGGAGGTCGAGTTCTTCGGATCGGCTAGCTGGTAGCCTGATTCGCAAACGCAGACGTGTGGCGATTTGCAATAAGCGTGGTTACTTTTATTGCAATTCTCGTGACAGATCGGCTCGCAGTACAAATCGTCATAGATCATCAATCGATAGCCGTCGTTGCAAGTGCATACGTCCGGCGCCGTGCATTTGCCGTTCTGGCACGGTTTTCTGCAGATCGGTGTGCAATTAAAGGTTTCCTCCCTTGAATCGGCTATCTCGTAGCCTGATTCGCAAACGCAGACGTTTGGCGCCTCGCAATAAGCGTGCCTACTTTTCACACAATTTCTGTGACAATCCGGCTCGCACTGTGACTTGAAATGGGACAATTGATATCCTTCGTTGCATTTGCACGTCTCAGGTTGTACGCAAACACCGTGTTCGCAGCCCGACGAGCAATGCGGTACACAGGAATCGTAGCTCGATTCTTCGTAACCGTTGCAGCATCTTGTCTCCGTCTTCCAAATGACTTTATACTGAAAATCATGTTTCTTTTTAAAGATTCTTTTATATAGGGGGAGTTACTAGGGTTATCTCAAGTTCACCGGCATTGACTTTGATCGGCTCTGTATATTTATCGACATACTGAAATCATCGGCTATTGTATTTCGCGAGGTTGCTGGATTTTAGCAAACACCCACCAAAGCAGAGTGTATATATGTATTAGTGGAATAAAAATTTGTTATATAGAGTATTGCTGAAAGTCAATGTTGGTGAAACAGATGGATATATCGTGTCTTTTACTTCGGTCCTATAGTTGAGACGCATCTTAATCTTATAGAAAAGTCCCCAAAGTCGAGCCTTGTAGGTTTCCACATAGGGTACTCGTACGGGTACCTTTTCACTGAAAAAGTTTCATCCTCGGATAACACGAGTGTTCTTCTCGATATAAACCCTAACTAATATCAGCTACTTTATCGAAATAATTAAATTAAGAAACGATACAAAAAAGAATGTAAGATGCAATCGTTACCTTACAGATACGTCGCACTTTGTCGGGTCGTATTTTCTCATCGATAGAAAGGACCCGTTCAGAAGGACCACGTTTAGAAGGATGATACAACCGACAATGAATTGCATGATTGTTTCTTCTTGTCTTCGCGCACGAACGGTGGCAAACTGACGATAATTGGGCACATCATTTTGTATAAATATCTGTCTCCCTCCAATTATGTGCTTCGCGTTATCCGAGCAAGACAGGATGCCAGATATCATGACAATTCGTAGCTCTTCCTGCTGATTTACGTTTTCCAAAAGCGTTTACTCGGAATTTATTTATTCGGGGATGGAACTTTGGTTGCGAAAATGGAAATTTGGTTATACAGGGTTGTTCGCTATTCTTTATTATCACATTTGATTAGTATTACAACGATAACAAGATAAAAAGAGAAACAAAAAACGTTAAAGATTATTGTCTTCTTCAGGTAACAGAGAAGATTGACCCATCGAAACGGTTGAAGTGCTACCTGCGTTTTCAGACATGAATCTCTCACAATTAATATTATGTATTCTTAATTGATATTATTAGTTATTAAACTGCGGATATTTATACAACACATGTTTTGTTAGAATATTTGTAAATTGAACATGTTTTCTGCGTGTAATCTATGTTGTTACGACACAAATGATTCACAACATTCTTCCATATATTATTCATATTTTGATATGTTGTAATTGCACAAACATCCGCATATCGGTATCATTAATTACCCAGTGAAAATCTTCGTTTCCGGTGTTTTCGAATTAGCAAGTAAATCGTCGCGACGCTGGCCGTCGAGATCGTTGCTATTCCAACTATTCCAATTACGGTAACATAATTCAATTTACTTACACGTTCCGCATGTACCGCGTGGCAGCCTAAATCTATCAAAGAAAATTATTAAGCATCAAGTTATATGTCCAAGTGAAAAATGTCATTTGTACCTGTGCTGATTAAACACGCAATCGTGTCATTTTCAGCGTTATCGCTCCTATATTTTCCAAAGCATAAACTTTCGTTACTGATTTCTTCGAAACAACTGTAGGTGCATAATGGGCTGCTCGCGAACACGTAATCTATCGTTTCGTTCACATGATCCACGACGGTCCTACGGAAAAGAAAATATTATAAAAGAAACTGATTCGAAGAAAGTGGATTGAATTTTTGATATTTACATATTTAGATATTCTGTATCATTATCCATTTGTAGAATACAGAACGATGGTTCCTCGCAGTCTAACCCATTCCAACCGTAATAACAGTCGCAGGTTCTGTTCTCCAGGTTGCAAGTCCCATGACCGGTGCAATTACTTTCGCAAATGCTGATGCAGCGCAGCTTGCCGCCATTTTCAACCGTGTTATCCATCTCTTTGATAAAACCAACGTTGCATTTGCAGTCACCTGGTGCAACGCATTCACCGTTCTCGCATTCCTCGCAGAAAGGTTCGCAGACGCTTCGATTTTCCATTTTGTGGACGTAGCCTTCGTTGCACTCGCAGTACTCAGGCGCAACGCAGCTTCCATCCTTGCACGAGCTGCAGAAGGGTATGCAACTTCCTCTCTCGTTGTTTTCGTAACCCTCGTGACATGTGCACACGTTTGGAGAAGTGCAGTTACCGTTTCCACAATTGAAGTCGCAGATGGGCACACATGTGTATGCATTTTCCGTGCAGTTGTGACGACTTGGATCAGTACAAGGTTCATAATACGACTCTTCGGAAAATGTGTATACGTAGCCATCGTTGCAGCTGCACTGGTTCGGTGCATTGCAGAATGCGTTTATGCACTTTTGCTCGCAGATCGGTTCACAAACGTTGGAATCATTCTTCGACGATTGATAGCCTTGATTGCACTCGCATTTATTCGGTTCGCTGCAGTATGCATTAATGCAATTTTGTTCGCAGATTGGGTCACAAACGTTCGAATTACCCTGCGACGATTGATAGCCTTCGTTGCACTCGCATTTGTTCGGTGCATTACAGAATGCGTTTATGCACTTTTGCTTGCAGATCGGTTCACAAACGTTAGAATCATCTTTCGACGATTGATAACCTTTATTGCATTTGCATTTGTTCGGTGCATTGCAGAATGCGTTTATGCACTTTTGCTCGCAGATCGGTTCACAAACGTTAGAATCATTCTTCGACGCTTGATAGCCATCATTGCACTTGCATTTGTTCGGTGCATTGCAGAATGCATTTATGCACTTTTGCTCGCAGATCGGTTCACAAACGTTAGAATCATCCTTCGACGCTTGATAGCCATCATTGCATTTGCATTTGTTCGGTGCATTGCAAAATGCGTTTATGCACTTTTGTTCGCAGATCGGTTCACAAACGTGAGAATCATTCTTCGACGGTTGATAGCCTTCATTGCACTCGCATTTGTTCGGTGCATTACAGAATGCGTTTATGCACTTTTGCTCGCAGATCGGTTCACAAACGTTTGCATGATTCTTCGATAGTTGGTAGCCTGAATTGCAACTGCACAAATTCGGAGCAATGCAATAACCGTTCACGCAGGGTTCTTCGCAGACGGGTTCGCAGACTCCTGTGTTTTCTAATGAATATCCTTTGTTGCAAGTGCAAGTATCCGGTGCAGTACAAGTTCCAAATGGGCACCCATTGTGGCATATTGGTTCGCAAATGAATTGATCGTCCGGGTTCAATTCGTAGCCACTGTTGCAGCGACAAGAGTTGGGCGCAAAGCAGAAACCGTTCTTACAAGGCATGCCACAAACGGGTACACAATGATGATTCAAGTCTCCGGACAGTGGTTGATAGCCTGGATCGCAAATGCATGTGTTTGGACCGTTGCAGTAACCGTTCACGCATTCCTTCTCGCAGATGGGTTCGCAAATGTTTGGATTGTGTGCAGATTTTTTATATCCTGGCTGGCAAGTGCAGACCCCTGGTTCGCTGCAATAGCCGTGGACGCAGGTTTGCTCGCAGATCGGCATGCAGGTTGAGTTCATAGCGAAGTATTTGAACTTTTGGAAAGAATAAGAGCACCTTACCAATTAACAATTTTTTATCCCTATTTCTATTACATATAAAAAGAAAAACTTACACCTTCGGAATTTTGATTTTTGTGACCAAGTTGGTACCCCTCGAAGCAGGTGCAAGTGTCAGGCGCTGTGCATTGTCCGTACGGTTCACAGGGGACCTGGCAGTAAGGTTCGCAGACGTGTTTCATCGTCTCGTCACCGCTCAATCGGTAACCCTCGTTGCAAGAACAAACTCCAGGAGCTGTGCACGTTCCATTCACGCAAGCTTTCTCACAAATCGGTTTGCAGATATATTTTGAATCTTCTAGTAGACCGTAACCCTCGTAACAAGCACAAGTCTCGGGTGCTATGCATTTACCCTCCACGCATGGCTCGCTGCAGATCGGTTTGCACAGTACGACCCCAAGAACATTGTGAGCTCGGTAACCTGGATTGCAGGTGCACGTAAATGGTGTTTTGCAAGTACCCCATACACAAGTACTCGGGCATATAGGTTTGCAGCTGAACTTATTGTCAGGATCCATTTCGTAGCCATCGTGACAAGCGCAAACATTCGGTTCGACGCAATCGCTGTTCACGCAATCGACGTCGCAGACGGGTTTGCATATCTTCGAAAAAAATGAAATTTGATGAGAAGAAAAGGTTGCAGTTTGTTGGATACTATTTCGTCTCGTAAAAATTGATAGATACGCACTTTATTCTCTGAGACTATATACTTGGATATAGGAGTGTAGCCATCGTCACAGGTGCATACTTGTGGACGCGAGCAATACGCGTGTCCTTTTGTACAGTCCAGGTCGCAAATTGGTTCGCAAATACTCTCGGTCTTGTTCATCCGGTATCCTTCGTCGCAAGTGCAAACATACGGTGTTTTGCACGTTCCGTGAACGCAGCTTGGACAGATCGGTTCACAAACGTGATCGTGTGTCTCGGACTTGGTGTAATCCACGTAACATAAGCACGTGCCGGGCTCGGTGCATTTAGCGTTCACGCATTCAGGATCGCAAATAGGTTCACACTCACCCTCTTCTGTCAGTTTAAAATTTGTGCAACAAGCTTTCTCTGTACGATACGCGGTGTAATACTGAAACAATTGTTATTGTGTTTAAATTGTTCGACATATTTCTTGACATTCGAAGGTACAACCAAATCTTTACCTCTACCCTGTAATTCCATCGTATTTTCGTTTCGTAAAAGATACCCCATTTGCTGACCCGATATGTCTCGCTGTATGGCACGTAACGAGACGCCTTGTAGCTGAGAATTTTTTATTAGTTTTGGATCAGAAAAGAACGTTCAAGCACATATGATTAGTTATCGATCTTACCTGACCAATTTGTTACAATTTGAAAAGTAGGTCCACGGACTGATTATCCGCGCGCCGGACAATACGAGAAATATGATGAGAAACTTCATCGTAAAGTTCTTTTTTCTTCTCGTCCACGCGTGATGTTTCAATTAACTGACGCTGGAAATGCAACGAAATCGTCTCACGAAGTTGTTACATCGTACAGACGTTTATTTCTCCTTGCCCCTCGTCAACGCAATCATGTCCTGTGTCATCGGAAATGAAACAGGATGTTAGGTGATACCATTTCTCGGATAATAGAAATTTTTTTCGAACACGCATCGCCAACGTGCACCATTTCTTTGTCGAACGTTATTCACTTTATTTATGAACAATTATACAAATTGACCAACGCTATCTAAGATCTAAACAATAGTTATCGATGATACATATCTCGTTTTTTTAAGGTACAATTTCACTCGTACAGAAATCCAACTGGCAGTTATACAATTTCTTATATAACCTACTTGCACTCGAACGAAGTATGTCTAATCACCAACGATGCATCGATCATAATTAGGCACTGAAATTATTAAACGAAAAACTTTCATATATTAGAGAAATAGTATAAAATTTAAAACGTGTTAAATAAAATTTTATTATACTACGAGAAAGATTGATAATAAAAGAAGAAAGGTTTATTTAAACTGGAACACATCTCTGTCTACCCTTAACGCCAGTTTCCTTCCTGTAGCCAAGATTACAGATACAGAAGTTAGGCCCAGAACAGACTCCGTTCGGGCATCCACCGATGCACACAGGTAGACACCTGGTTCGTGTCACGTCGTTAGGATCCATCATGTAACCGCGTTTGCAGCTGCACTGATTCAGACCAGTGCACTCACCGTTGATGCACGGCATCTCGCAGATGGGCTCGCCCATCTGCGACGAAGTCTCAGGGACGCATCTTCTGCTAGCCCGGTCCATCACGAATCCACGATTACACGCGCAAGTATCAGGACCTACGCATTCACTGTTCGGCCCGCAGCTGTATCTGCACTGGGACGATGGTTGAACGGTCGGTCGTGGTTCGGGACACCTTCCGGTGTCGGGATCTACGTTCAAACCGTAATCGCAGATGCACAAGTCCGGACCAACGCAAAAACCATGAGAGCCACAGCCGTTTCTACATTGGAACGACATCGCGGCTGGGATACACTTGCCGGTATCTGGGTCAACGCGATAGCCCAGATCGCAGGCACATCGATTAGGACCTACGCAGGTACCGTTTGGTCCGCAACCGGATCTGCACTGAGAGGAAGTGCTGGATAGACTGGTCAGAGGGACACATATGCCGTTCGAGTCGCGAGAGAAGCCTATGTTGCAGTTGCAGACTCCTGGAGCGACGCATTCACCGTTCTCGCATCCCTGAGGACAATCCGGGCTGCACTTGTTGGCGAAGTCTAGAGTATAACCTGGTCTACAATTGCAGACACCTGGAGCGACACACTCGCCGTTGCTACAACCTTGACGACACTCCGGGACACAATTGTTGGAGGAGTCGGTGGTGTAGCCTTGTCTGCACCTGCAGACACCTGGTGCAACGCACTCGCCGTTCGCGCAACCTTGAGGACACTCTGGAATGCACTTGTTACTGGAATCGAGAGTAAAGCCTGATTTACATTTACAAACACCTGGAGAGATGCATTCGCCGTTGATGCATCCAGCAGGACACCTCGGTACACAGGATTCCCTGTCTTCTGGAGGATTTGTGTACCTGTGAAATGCATCAATTTGTTAACTAAATTATGGTCCACTGATATTTCAAATTAAACGAAACCATTAAAGAAACTTTACCCTTCGTTGCAACTGCATACACCCGGAGCAGTGCACTCCCCGTTACGGCAACCATTCTCGCAGACAGGTACGCATTCCTTCGATTCGATCCCGGTACTTTCAGAGGACGCCCGAAGCACGTATCCCGTCTTGCACCTGCACACACGGGGTGCCACGCAGTCACCGTTCCTACAGCCCCCTGGACAAATCGGTTTACACTCGCCGTTCACCTCGTCGTAGCCTAGCTTACAGGCGCACACGTTCGCCGAGAAACAGTAAGCATCCTTCTGGCACGGTCTATCGCAATAGGGCATGCAAACACCCTCCTGCGGGAACCAACCCGGTGAACAGGTGCAAACGTTCGGCGCGGTGCATCTTCCACCTAAGCATCCTTGAATGCAACGAGGCTCGCAGCCTCCGGAAGTAATGTTACGCTCGTAGCCATCGCAGCAGTCCAAAATCGTGATCCATCCGTTAGTCTAACAACGAATCGTGATTGCAAAATGTAATTTATTTTTATTCGAAGCTCGAGATGCATCTAAATTTTACCCTGGGGTACTGTTAACTCTATTGCGTGGTGCAACTTGGTATCAATGGTATATTTACCGGCTCGTTCTCGTTGGTAGAGGGAAGGGTGTTATGAGGGAACTGTCCAGTGGAGTTCAACGCTAGTGCATCCGCATAACTGAAAAATAGAAAAAGAAATACGAAATTCGTCAGGATAATTAAGAACAGAGATTGTTCGTTGCATGTTCACATCTTGCAATTAGAACAACACGTTTGATGGAAATTTTATTTATTTATTTAACGTTACTCACGGTATCCTTTTGTAACAAAGTCCTGCCTGAATGGTACTGTTAAGACCTCCGCTTTGATTCGGTCGATGAGATCGATGGCCACCTTTGACACCTTCGATAGCCAAAGTGTCTACGGCGAAGAGCGTTAAAACGACCGAGCAAATGATCAGTGATTCTCTCATCTTGAACGAACGAGCACGAACGAACAACTGAATTCTTATTTTCGGTACGCGCGCGATGACATCTTCCCCGATAACATTGACGCGGCGGGGTCACAGCAGTTACCATCACTTTCCATCAGACTGCGTAGTTGTTCGCAGAAATGTTTATGAATCGTGGCTGCATCCGAATGTCGAAATTGGTTGAGTTCACAGAAATCACTTCAGCTACACGGCTCCTCTCGATTTATTTTTTTTCTTCTCTCCTTTTTTACGATCTAGTTTCTTGGAATCCACGGCTAAGGAAGGGAACATCCGCTTCAAAGATACGTTTGAATTTTGATAAATGTCTATTATTATCAGTTACGACTACTGAAGCGTGTACGACGAAGATCGAGAGACCAGGGTCACCGTGGGCTTTCATCGAATAGTATCCAATCCCGAGTTCAGAGGAATCGCTTGGACCATTCAGTTTTTCTTCTTCTTGTTTATATTTATTTGTATCTTCGTTTTTTCGTAATCAAGGAAAGGAACGCTTCTTCGAGATAGTCGTAATTTTGATAAACGTTTATAATTATCAATTACAAGTACACATATAATAAATCAGGGTCATCGTGAGCTTCGATTAGCCAGCAGTCGACGTGGGTTCACAGTACTTTCATCCTTGCTTGTTTCCCTTCTTCTTTTTCCTTTTCTCTTGTTTAGCTTTTGGTTATCAGCGACCACGGAAGGGAACATTTGTCTCGCACAAACGTAATTTCGATAACCGTTTCGTTATTATCAATTACGACTCTGTAGAAACGTACATGACGAACCTTGAGAATCCAGGGTCACTCGTGAGCTTTGATCGAACGGTCTTCGATCGATGATTGAATTGGCTCGCCTATCGAGGCAGAATCGAGCGTGACTCGAAATCAAAAGGAAACTCGGTATAACTTGACAGGTTTCTCGAGATGAGGTACGCGTTTCGAAGTTTTCTTCAAACAACGGGACGGAAACGTTTCGAAAGTTCCGTTTATTGCTAGTTTATGTAATCCGTCGATATCGCTGTTCTCTTTACAAAGGATGCAGCGTCTGACTGATAAAAACGACCCAGCCGAGAGTCCGCCAACCGCGACGGTCACTCGGTTGCCCTATTTTTAAACTACGATAAAAACTGAAAGCTTTGGCCTGGTTGTGATAATTGGAAAAAAAGAATGATACGAGAAATCAGTGATCTACTGAGAATAAATTAAACAATTTTTAGAAGATATTCCGAGTTCTATACGCGATAATATATCATGGTAAAATTCAGTACGGTTGGCTGAGATTATCTTCGAGCTATTCCAATTACGAGCTATCTATTTTTCTTCATTTTTTCCTTCTCCCCGCTGTTTCTCGCACGTCATGACGAAAGAACGCGTTGTTCGCCTGACATAAATTCGTGATGAATTTATTATTATCGATGATGACAACGCTTCGTAAGTGCAGCCTTAAGTTTAATCGGAACACGACTCGCTTATCGCTATCCGATGATACGAAATGAATATTAAGCGTAAATCTTATGAATTATTTTAAACTTACTCTTCTTTGGAATACAAATTCTTTGGTATACGTATCATCTTATTTACACGAACAAAAATCAAACTTAACCCTTAATTTAATACAACAAACATTCCACTGCAACCACGAATAATAAGAATCAACCCCCAATCTGCAGTTAAGAACACAACCCCGTTTTGAATAATCCATTGAACGACTGGTCCCTCTAATTTTTTCATTTCGCAACTTAGTTCCAGTCACCGTTCGTTTATGGTGTAACCGGTGTAAAAAGTTCGCGTGTTCATGGTTGACGTCGTCGGGGGCTCGAATGCAAGTCGATTGACGTCAAAGAGAGCGAGGAAAAGCTGTCTCGTCGTGGTACACGCCCTGTTGGATAATATAATCGGCGCCGTTAACCCAGGGTCGTTTTTCTACCCGACCAAGGAACCGATTGCAGTCACGTTCAGCCTTGCACGCTAAACGAGCCCGCGTAAGGTCGGAAACCAGTCCGGTTAGATTTTTCCTACGAACCCGTAGACGAACTGACTCTTTCACATCCGCCTTCGGAATCGCACGCGAGCTTGACTCGAACAACGGCGAGATAAGACACCGCTTTCTTCAGTGAAATTCTATGCGTTGACCTGGCAAGGTCATTGATGACTGGTACCGGACTTGTCAATGACATCATCCTCCTTACCAGCGAAATTATTCAACGTAGAAAAACAAACGAAATTATTGAACCGGATTATCGAGTTGATAATTGGACGAGGTATTACGTTAGAAACGTTCAAGTGAAAGATTACACGTTTCGCGTGATTAACCCGCTGACTACCGTGGAGAATCGAAAAGTAATACGATCGTATCACTCGATAATTCTAATTACAGTCTGTCTAACGAATGTTTGCACCGTTAGTTAACCAGTTAATAGATATTATACAATACTATAATTTTCTGTACGAGACACGGTTTTCACTTTGCAAAACAAACATACCAAGTTTCTCCTACATTCAATACATTAGGGTCGATTTATAATTCACACCGACGATCCCTTCACGCGTTTTTACGACAGTGTAAAGGGCTCGATTGCAATGGGATTTCGTCGTAAACGTGTTCCGTGTTCGCGTCAAAATCGTTCTGTAAACGAATCCGTGTCGACGGTGGTCGATCGTAGTGATCGTCCTGCAGAAATTCTGAAAAAGAAACAAACAAAAAAAAGATTTCCATTATTTCTCCAATATTTCAAAAAAAAAGAAAAAATTGTTTCGCGAATAAAAATAGGAAGAAAACTCACCGCGTAGATCACCGGTTACACGAAAACCGATCGTGGCAGATCCGTTGGCATAGTTGCTCGAAGGATCGATACTGTTCACCGGAAATACCGTTCTTGGCTCCGAAGTGGACGCAAACAAGGGGCTCACGCTTGGAGTTTCTGTAATTTCGACAGCACACACGTACAATGGTGCATCGTTGTATTGACACGATTCGGTATGCAGAATTTATAATAGAAATTGAATGCAGCAACGAGGGAAAGGGAAAACGCATCTTGATAAGATATTCTAATCCTTTGCGAGTAATTCGCACCTCGGTCATAGTTCAAGATGGTTAACGAGATAGGATGCGATCCAGGTCAAGGATGGATGGAGCTATACTCACGAGGAAGAGCAGCCATGACTATCGAGGAGATCCTCGTTGCACTTGGGTTCTCTTGATTCTTCGTCTTTGCTTCCTCGTAAATGGATAACCTGGCTGTTTCGAGCAGTTTCGAACGCATGTGGAGAATCATCACCACGGCTACCGAGGTCAATCCCAAAGATACGATCGAAGCTACCACGATTAGTGCTATGTCCAGGGGTATCGGGGCTGGCTGAACGTTGTCTACTACAGATCAATAGCTTAAGGTTCATTTTAAACGTTCACAATTTCACTTACAATAAAGTGAAACGTTTGAACGTTCAACATAATCTTTACCTTTGTGAATGTTCTTAACGTAATCGGTCTTAGGAGGTACGATATCAACGTTGTCGCCGATGTGTCCCAAGAAGGGATTCTTCATCGCGAATTTCCCTCGTTCCTTTTCAACGTTCCGTCTCCGTTCTGGGACGGAAACTAAAACGATCACAGGCCTGGCGGTGCTCGAGTTGCCCTCTTCTCGTGTCCTAATTTTCATCTGATCCGAGCTCGAGACGTTCGTCGCTTCCGGGCTGCTCGTTCTGCCAGGATTAACCGTGGTGGCGAGCGTCTGGTAACCGGCTACATCTTCGATAACATCCGAACAAAAGGAGGAACTTTTGATTTGTGATCGTTACGTAAACGCGTGATACGTTTGACATTAGAGTTTCTACGCGTTTCTTTTCGCGCCGTCTTCCATTTAGTCGACCATGGTTTGCCTAGACGCGCTATTATGTATTTAGGACCGAGACTTTCGTTCAACTTAGTTGCATCACGCGAATAAATATCACGCCTCGAACAGAATCTCTTTATTTATTACCTTCTGTCGGACTTTCCGTCGTTTGCCAAATTCGCGTAGGATCCCGGTTATGATCGACGATCGTGAAGTTCACCGGTTCCTTGTTCTCTTCGTCAAGATTCTGTGAGTAACTATCGTTCATCGCGGAAACGTCGTTCCCGATGCATCGACCTGTTTCGGGGTGACACGCGTTCGGTGCATTCTTGCATTCGCATGGAAATGCACATTCGGGACCCCAACGATCATCTGGACACGACTCGTTACACCTGTAATGGAAAATAGCAATTATGTACTACCGGTTGATTAAGTAGTTTCAATCATTATATAGTATCGAATGTTTATGCAATATCGTAGAAGTCAATGGAACCGGTCGAGTCAACTAGAAACATTAAGTTATTTTATTGGAGTTATTTCTTCAGTGATAAACAAGTGCTTTCCTGTTCTGCGTCTGATAGAAGTGAGTGAAGAAAACTTTTTTTCTTTTAATTTTAACTATTCTTATTAACGATTGCAACACTAGCAATAAGAATTGCGATAACAATTGTCGTGACTATTATTCAATTAGGCGGAATCGTTCTGTTAACCCAGATTTAATCTCGTTCGACAGTACCAAGCGTTCTCTTGATGATAGAAAGGAAATCTGTGCACTGCAGACGCAGCCTTGCTTACGTTTGTCCACGTAATCCTGGCGGACACGCACACAGTCCATTTACGGGATTGCAAGGTACGTCCTCGGTGCAGTTGCATTTCTCTTTGCACAGCGAGCCCCACGTGCCTCTTGGACACTCTGTAACACGATATCATCGCTGTAAAGTTTCTTTCTGCAAAAAATCACAAATACAACTTAAACATTTGTTCAAGTCGAAACGTTTTAGTAAATTTCGAGTTCCTGCAACATTTTTCGCTTTCGCTATGATGCACTTTCGATCCATGATGTAATTACGGAAATTCCCTGATAATAAATGCGTTCTTTTTTTTTTTTTGTAATATCTGAAAAATCGATGTACAAACAGAACGTTGAAAGGGAGAAAAAATGGGCGGGTCGAATCATCGATTTCAAAAAAGGAAGCCACGTTCGCGTGAAATTTATTTGCTCGCGTTCTTGCGACGAAGGAAGGTCGGTCTGTTTCGTCGAGCGTGAAATTTATCCTCTCTGTTGCGGAATTTCGTGTTTTTCTTTCCTCGATCACAATGACGAGACGTATTTATATGGAAATAATCGATTGCATTGATTTGTTATTTAATCATTAAAATGTCACAGGGGCGGAAGGTGATCGCTTGTGATAATTGAAAAAAGAAAAAAGAAAGACCTTACCGATCGTACAGTTATCTCCGTGATATCCAGGATCGCAGTAACACTGGTTCGGAGAGACGCAAATTCCCGAGTGACATTTTTCGCAAAGTGGCAGACACCTGATGCCTGTCATGCTGTCACTGCTCGTGATCATTTTATAGCCTTCGCAGCACTCGATCACTCTCCTGGTCTTCCACTCTGTCTAGAAAGTGAAAACAAGATTATCCCTCTCTAAGGGTGACACGAACGATCGATTTCCACGGAATCTACATCAACTTATCCTCGTTATTTTTCTGTTCGCTAACTCGATTAACATCGTCGTTGCTACGAGACATTCGTTCGAATGGAATAGCTCGTTGAATCGTGAGAATTTCGAGCAGAAGTTAATGCACGATGGTTAGGAGAACGATCAACGAGCAGAAATTAGGCCACGTAAGCCATCGAGCAAGCCCGTTCTGGCAGCGTGTCTAGTGGATCTTTGGAAATGGTCCCATTTTCCTCTGGTTACCCTCTGCAACTGGATGCGAATCGTTCGGATTCTCGTGTAAGAACGAAAGTACTTGTTCTCGATGAAAAATGAAAGGTAAAGTAACACGAGGTGTTTCCTTCGTAATAAGTTGTAAGCAGATACGTGAGATAAAATCGAAGTCTAACTTCATAAATTACGTGTCTGTCATTCTGGTCCGTCAGTTTCATGCAAAAAGGTTGATATAATTTCCAGATAGACAAATCATAGCTTTTGTTCCTAAATTGACCGCTCACCTTATCTTATTGTACTATTAATTAGATAGAATTGATCATTTGACGCGTGAAACGTCCAGTATCCGTTCTTATTGCATTTCTTCCGGGAAAAAATTCGCTTGTTTCTTTACTACCGACATTACCAGATAGCGGAGTGTGATAAAGTCGATTACCGTGTACAGGTGACGCCGTTGATCACCACCGGTCTAATGTTGCAATTAACGTCTCTGAGTTTCTTATTTCATCTGGCAGAGGAGGAATTCGTTATGCAAGTAAATTGCCAGCGGATTAATCACTGGTCGCTTATTACGCACGCAATACGATCGCGAATCGAGTTCAAGCGATATATTCTAAGTGTTAGAAAAAAAAAAAAAAAAAATGAAAGCGTTCGAACACGACTCGATCGTAGAATTAGAGAAAGGAAATCTCTCGTACGATAAATCATCGATATCTTCCCTTGTTCCTTCGTCGAAGCTGTTGAAATATCTGATGAAGTTACTTTGCTTTCACGCCGAAGAAAAACGCGTCATTTGAAATTCTGATGGCGAACACCGTTTCGTTAATGTGTCAATTAACGATATCGCGCCGCGATTCCGGCGAATCTTTCAACATCGAGCAAAGTCCATTACGCTCGCGTTCCAACGTCGAGTCGAACGTTTCAGCGTCGACGATATCGAATGGATGCCGATTTAATCGATTCCTCGTGTCGTGAAATACTTGTTTTCATAGATCATTCAAAGCACGTGATTTCCGTCTTTCATGAAAGTTTTACCAGGATATTCCATGCTTTATTCCCTTAGTTGGGTATTCAAGTTTCTCCGAACGTTATGGAGGTCCACCGATCTTCGATTTATACAAACTCCTAATTAATCCAACAGGGTAAAGGTTTTTCTCGTTTATTCAAACGACGATTTTAACCAGGTTGTTAAGGACTGCACCAATTCTATGGGGATATTAATATCTACGATTTACGTTTGCGTTTCCCACGTGGCTCTATTTGAGAAACACTTTTACCCATGATAATTCCGCCTCGTTCCAATGCGATCATTCGTAATTTACCGTTCGAACGAGTTATCGCGTAACCACGGTTCTCTGACATATGCAATGCTGTATTTTCCTTAATGGTAAATTGAAGGTAAATTGAAGTGAATTAGAATTGACGAGAATATTCGATATTATCTATATAATAATCCAATTTCCAACTGGAAATAGCAGTGTACGAGCCAGAGAACAAATTTAGCGTGAAACATAGTTGAAGAAGAAGTCGTTTTATCGGGATTTGGAACTTTGGCCCTTTCGATTTTAGACAAATATTTTCGTGTCTAAAACGTTCTCGTTACTCTTGTTACACAATCGTTGACAAGTTCGATGGATGCGAAAGAATTAATTAAGACAGCTGTGATTAATAACAACGACAGTAATTGTGACAATATTTATGATACAGCTAGTAACGAAAGTGGCACGGACGTTCTTTTACGTAACTATTTCTTGTTTTCGGATTCCAATTAAATAATACCCGTCGACTAATTTTTCTGTAGTAACAATTCTCTCGTTGTCTACGATTATCGCTGTAAATGCGTAATTGCCTAAAAAATTATGCAACTCCGTTTTCTGTCCGTAGAAAACGTCGAGCGACCTCGAAACGTCGAACGACCGACCACGTCTTCGATTCTTAATCCGCTTCTATTTCGCGGTATCCCTTTCTACGATCTCGTTTCATTTTCAAAGCGGGTCCTTCGGATCGTTCCATTTTCTAGGATATCCTGTAATACCTTTCGAACAACACGTACCGTTTCTTCCTATCATACGATACCTACATTCGTACACGTCATTCCGGTCGTCTTTGCGCGATTTAAAGCATCATAATTCTACTTTGCAACTCGTTCAAGGACTATTCTCATTGTCTCGGTAATGCTTGGATTACTATCTCTGGTATTGGCTAACTCGAGCTGTTCTTGATAATATTCACCTTCTCCTACGTTAATTTTAATAGCGTTCGAAGGCTAATTAGCAACTATTATAACGGATACTATGAAAGTCTCGGGAATCTTATTCAGCGATCAAACGTTTCGATCGGCGAGAAGTCCGCTCGAAAGTCCTTTTCGCGGTGGTACACGTTCTTATTACGTAACAGGCCGGTGTAATGCGGAGCAAAATACATCGCGATGTTCCTACGCAATAAATATTAAGTCTACTCTAACCGTGAGATACTTGGGTAACGTTTATATGGTGTGCGTTCGATGGTACCATAGCTTTCTCATAGGAATATGCTTTTATTGTCAGCGCAACGCGTGACCGTCGGTTTCTTAATCGCCATGGTATCTTTTTGAAAAAAATTGCAAATTCTAATTTGAAAGTTTATAGGACTCCAAATATGAACAGCGAAGTATCTTTACGTTGCACGCATGTACTTTCGTGGGCGCGTGTGTTCCGTGCGATTCGCGATTTTCTATTTCAATCCGGCCGTTCTTGCGTTCGTGTAGCAGGCTGATTGCGAAACGAGACGTTTAGGCGAGACCTCTTTTCTCTTCCGGCGATTTATTATCTCGATCATCAGCGAGCGTGCATGTAAACACGGGCAGACTTCGAAACAGGCTTCGATACTCGTCGATCTAATTGAAAAATTACTCTGTCGATACGTTTTCTCAGGAAAAACCGCAACACTGTCTTGTTACCATTTGTTCCTTTTCAACAATTAGAACGCGAACACGTTACGAAACGCGTCTCGGGTAGAATTTAAATTCATTGGAAAATTCAATTGCCATTGTACTATCGTTATGAATAAATATAGAATTTTTTAGAATTTTCTTGAAACAACTTCCTCAACACCCTACGTATAGTTTCTCCTGCGTCCCTTTTCACCCAGTCACCGCATTTGCATGAAACATAGTACTCGCTTTCTTCCGGTAGCAATTGATTGCTCCATGTGTGGATGTAGATCGATCAGGTTACATAAGTCCCCTTTTTACCTGCCGATCGTGTACATTAAACAGCTACCGAAATCGTGGTTAAAATCGCGATCGATCGGTAGATAAATTGGAAAACAGGAATCAGGGGATCAATTGATTTATCGTAGCTCGACGGTAATTAATCGATCGATGTAACAGGACTATCGTATGAATTAATCATAGTAATAGTAATTATCTTTATCTAACCAGGTTTGTATCTTCGTTTCGATTCGAAGTGAACGCTAGAGACCCGCTTCAAAGCGTATCGAATCGTTCCGCTCTGCGTTTAACTTTCGTTAATTACGCTCCGGGTATTTGCTTGCAAATCCTCCGGGCATGCTGCAATTATTGCCGGGAAAACGAGGAAAATTGTATTATTTTCGCAAGATCGATAGATAAGATCACCGTATTAGAAATTTTCTTTAATCACAGCTATGTTGAATTGCGAAGATTGAACGGAAGATAAGAAATAGAAAATCTTGTCGCAACCTGGGTTCTCTTTTTAAAGAATTTCATTTTCAGTGCAATCGGAAGGCTTCGTTAACGTCAAATTTCATTTGTAACATATTTAATAGAAAATGTAATTGTATAGCAATCAGAACATTCCTTTATTAACCAAAATAATGCCATTCGAAAGAATAGATGCTCACCTTTACGCGATATCGTTGTCTCATCTCGGTCCGCGTCTTCGGACACCTGGGTGGGATCTGTAGACACCAGGTGAACGTATTCACGATAACCGGCTCTGTGTACGTTTCCATCGACGTGACCGTGTAACTGCAATGTTTGATCAATTAACTATCTGTTTCTCTCGCGATATCCTTATCGGGCCCGACCGGAAAGCGTAATAAACTAACGAGTCTGGGTTACTGTCAAGGTTCCTTCGCGAAAGTGTTTCATCTGTCCTCGATAAAAGAGTGCCGCGAGCGTATACCAAGTCTGAATACTATTCCAACTTTCGTCCAACGTTTCAGCCTAATTTGCATCTTCATACAAAAGATTGGGTACTCACTTTTCCGTTCTTGGACACACATTGTCCGCTGAAAACACCCTCGAAGAAGACATCGCCAGCATCAAGAGTAACTTCCAAATAATCGCGACACTCATTTCCACTCCACAACCTTGTATCATCTGTAAGAATTCGCGTTACATCGCCATCAAAGATAGATGCAACGAAAAAATCTGTACTGATCCATGATACTTACTTTTATTAAATATTATTATACAGTTAAGGTAGAATCTATTTAGAAGGATGATTTAGTAAATGAACTGAATGAACGTTGCCATCGAATGAGCAAATGCGACGCCTCCATCGTCTCGAGTGCCATTCTTGCGCCGGAAACGAACGGAAATATCAGCCGTTAAGCGGTCGTCTCTAACTGCAAAAGTGTCCTGTTACTATCGGTAACGCGAGATACGAGACGAGTAGAATATATTACGTGCTTATTACGCGAAGGAAAAGCGTTCAAGACATTCTTCACCAGTTACCATTTTACTCGATCGCGAGCAAACGATGGTTTTACCCATCGAATGAAATAGGAAACATTATATTTTATTTTATTGTCCTTTAACCGCTGTTTCACAAAGAGAAAGGAACAAGGGGTATCGTATACTCAGACGTTCCTACCGGAAATTGCGTAGCCGATATTTGATGTAAGAGGGACAGACGGTCCCTTTCAAAGGACGTTCTTCACGACAGGAAACGCTAAGTTGCTCCAATTGGCTTGGCTGATTTGCTGCGCGATATACGAGCGACGGTTCATTAACACACGTCTCGATTGTAAATAAGTCGTCGATGGGTCGTATGATTCTCAAACAATTTCACCGACTGATAAGTAAAAAAAGAATGTTTAAAATGGTTACAACTAGACTTGGATATAAATGATCCAGTTTGTTCATAGAGCCCTAATGACACTAATGATTTTCCTTTCACACAGATGAATCTTTCGTAACAAAGTACAAATATCCTTGCGAATATTATGGTTATTTCCACTTCAACGTACCGTGAAATCGATAATGGAACTAATACACCACCAGACGGCTGGCACTTTCAGCCGCATTTAATGTCACCGACTAACGCTCTATACTCCTGGCTTGAGTAACGCCACATGTGGTTTATAATTCAATCTCCCGTCTCTTTTTTTTCCTTCGTGTACGATAGAAAGATCAGGAGAAACAATTTCAGAACTTCCAACACAGCTGTCACCATCGTGAGAAATTTCTCACTTTTGAATCATGATGTGTTCCATGAACGAACCTGATGTTGGAAGAGTTTGAAATTCAAATAGAGATTCTATCTTCGGACGATCTAAACTTGGAATTTAGATTAACCCGAGAGATTAGCACGGATCTTAATTATCTTGATCATTTCAGCAGTTTAAGCTTTGAGGAGATACTTGAATAAATTCATTCTAATCCCAGGAAGACTAAATCATTTTTGTAATTACATAAATATACAAAATTTGAGAAACTTTTATAGGAGTCAAATATAGATTCAGAAATCTATAATTATCGATGCGTAATCGATATTATTGGTCACGAGTCTGTGGCTTGAAACAACTTTCCATTTCTCCCGTTTCACTTTCGGTGGGTTAGGTCTAGGTTAGAGGAAGCCGACAACTCGTTACAGCAGAATGCAAATGTACCGGGGTGCGAATCGGTTGAGAGAATGACTTCATTTCACTCGCGATTACGAACGCGTGATGAATTCTATACCGAACACGTGCGTTCCCCAGCGATTTGCCAAGTTTTTTTTTTCCAGCAATTACGCGTTATACAAGCAGACAAATTTCGTCTGACGATGAACCGAAGGAAACTCGGCCACGATTCCCTGGTGTTACGCGAATGATTCTTTTGTTCGGATTCGGGGTTACCAAGAATGGAAGATCGAAGGCGTCGGCTGGAAGAAAATCACCTCTGTTCGCACGACTTTCCGTGCACAGGTGATGAGAAAATAATAATACTAGACACGCTAATTTTCGCCAAGGAACCCGTAATTATCGCGCCTTGGGAACGTCGATTCCTTCTCGTACGCCCCGAAGAATTTATCACCGTCTAGCGTAATTAGTTCTCGCAATATTTGATGACATAAAACTATCACAAAATAGCGCTTATGCTATATCAATTTAAAGCTTGAAGCTAGAAGAAAATGACTACATAAACGTTTTATCAAAATTCTTACTGAAATTGAAATAAATATTTCCACACCAACATCGCTATCGAACATCCTGAACTTCGATGAAGCCCTAATTGATTAAAATTTCACATGGTTAATTGAAAAACCTCTCACATGCCTAAGATCAAGCAAACAAACACCACTATTATCAACCCTTTCCCTAACAAAACTAAACAGAAACAAACATCTTTGATCACACCGGAACAACGTGATGGAAAATCGCGGAAGCTTTTCCTTTCGCTACAAAACACTGACGCAACTTTATGTACCGTGATGACAAGGACGTGGGAGGATATCGGATCCTGGACGAAGCAGCCAGTAAAGGAGATGTCAGTGACGCTTTCACAGACCGATTCACAACTGGCTTGCAAGTCCGTAACGAGCAATTGGCGTCACCGTCACTCGGAATGCACTTGTGGCACAATGAACTCCGACCCTAGCTGTCGACCACGACAACGACAAGTAGAACGCCGACGAAGGTGGGGTATGGAGGATTCCCAGAGGGGGCGGTGTACATTCTGGGCCCTCGAACCTTGCAAAAGACAGAGAACAAACTACCATTCGAGTGTTCGAGGATATCCTGTGGAGACATTGACACTGTCCGGTGAATCGTCGTCGAAGCGTAAACGAAGTTCACGACCTACGTCCATCTTTATGTTTCTTTTAACGGCCCTTCAAAAAAGGGTACCGACGTTAACAGGCAAGGATTGAAGCGTCTCGTTTGCTTAGCAAAGGTCTGGGTTAAATGATGCATTTCGTGTGTCGACGTTTAACGAGGGTAATTATAAGGGACAGACGGTTGAAAGGGAACAAGATGTTCTGAATGTGGAGTAGCACCTTTCAAGAATTAACTTTCGCAGAAAATTGTAGAAAAAAAAAAAATATTAAAAATCGTATATACTTTGCCCTGGAATTCTACGCTTCAGTGATTTACCGTTTATTGAATAACATCCAATTAAATGGTATATCAAGCTAGCAATTGAAATTCTCAGTTTCAGCGCATCTTGCATCATTTTCAATCATTCGCGCAGTGCAATTATTTCCAAACGAATTACGTTCATGAAATACGTGGAATTCCACGGCTTGTTTTATAGAGCAGAGCAGATGGCATCTTCCGAAGAAGAACGAAAAGACCGAGTTCCGTGGGCTGGGTTACGGTACGAACAGAACCGAGCGTAATGGGATGATTGGAAGGGCAATTCATGGCGTTCCCTCTTGTTCTCCACGCAATAGACCTCGACTACTCGAGCATTTAATCCCGTGACGAACAACATCCGATGAAATTGAGTAATTAATGATTGCACAGCAAGAGGGAAAGAAATGGGTGCCGTTGGTCGTGTCGTTTGTTCACCCTTTGTTAGAAACGACGATTATAGCAATGATTTTGTCCAAGTCCCGTGCGCCGCCGATCTTCCGGATGGATGGCGAGAAGAGCGAGTGGATGATGGAATAAATTTCTATGTCCCTGATTTATCACTTGGAAATTTTAAGTCCTAAGTTTCGAATCTCAACTTTCCAAGCTCTAAGCCCCAAGCCACAAGTTGCCAAGTCCCAAATCCTAACTTTCTAAGTGCCAAGTCCAAAGCCCCAAGTTCCACGTTTCCAAATCTTGAGTCCCAACTTTCCAAGTGCCGAGTCCCGAGTCCGAACTCTCAAGCTTAAAAAACTGATTAATTACTCTCGAGGATGCGTTAAACGACCCATCCTCCGTTTCTAAAAATACTATGCATTGAATTTCCTGTTAGCGACGGCAACGTAACACGTTAATTAGCGTGAAACGCTTTTAATGACCGCATGGGGATTGCTGTCTCGACATCCAGTCAGCATGTCGATTAATCCGTTCCACAGGTACACTCCGAAAGTGTAGAAATTCATGCAAAAGTACTTCCAGCTTAGATTGACATAGTGGAGACGTAATGATATCGCGAATAATTGCATAGGTTGTTGCCTTTTCCGCGAAACACGCTCGCGATCTCAGGCATTTCATGCTTGCTGCTCGGTTTCAAAACTATTTGCGTCAATCAACAATTATACACTCGCTGTGCCTACTTTGAAATTAAAATAATTTAAATAACTCGCCGCTGTTATTACATAAAATCTACCACTTTTAAACAAATCCCTTTTCATTGAATAAAAGAAACTTTCATTATCGTACGTTTTACAGTACATAGTACATCATTTATCATCTCAGTTCGTCTTCTTCAGACCAGAATACAATTATCCAGCGTTTTCTCCGAGAAACGTGGAATAAGAAAAACGCGAACTAACGTTGTAGGACGTTATTAGCTTCTACAAGCAACGGCCACTCGTTCACGGTCTATTGTTCTCGTCTGGCAAAGAGGTTGGTTCTGCCGGGCTAAGCATTAATCGATACTCGGGCTGATTGTTTTGTTCTCGTTTCTCAAAAAGGAATTCGTTTTGCACGACGAACGTCTCTAGCTTCGACAAAAATGATCGGGATGAAGGGATACGAACGATTACGGGAAATTAGTATTCGCGGGACGTCGGGTGTTTATACCTTTACGACGTCAGCTAGGTTGCCCTGAATAGTTTCGAGCAAGCACCGCATCGTTGAAACCGGCTACGCGAGTTCCGATCGAGCGATCTTACGTTCTTCCATAAATTTTCCTCCCTGACCAGGATGTGTCAGCGTGAAAGTTTTTCTGCGACACTTGTATACTTCCTGTTTCTATCGGACACCATCAAAATTCTCTTCTACCTCATAAATTGCCATTCGAAAACGTGCGTTGTTCAACGTCGTAGGACCTATACTGTCGGCGAACTCTGTTCTGTGTTTTCTTTTTTCTCAAAATGATGCAAACCTCTTGTAATCCGGCTGGATCGTAAGATTATGAGCCACGAATCAACGGGACATGGAAGTACCAGGCATTACGTAACGATTGCGCCAATGTACGTGGCGTTGTCGTTGTTTACCGTCCCCATGAACATCGGCCCGGGAAACGTTCAATTAATGTCCCTCCTCGTGTCACGGCTTTGTACGATTTGGACATAAGGGAATAGAAAGTGAACGGGTTGCATAAATCCAGCATCGTCTGCAGTGTCTGTATTTAACCCTGAAAAAAAATTTTCAAATTGTCAGGAACGAAATGATTTTGATAAAAAGGAAGAGAAAAGTGGACAAATGGGTCAGACCTAGATTGACGATGTTAGATGGAAATTTGTCTGCTCGCGAAAGCGGAATTTCTGTGCCTTCTGTTTGAAACGGATCCTCTGCTTCCGCTTCATAAATTCGCCTGTGTTTACGGAATACATAATTCCGACTTTCTTCTTCCTCGTGCCGTAAATACGTCCGGTTCTCGTTTCAAATCGAGCCTCGATCAGCCGATTCGATGAGAAGACACCAACCGCGATTATCCCCGACACCGGTCGATTCCGATCACCGTTCGAGCGTGTTCTCTAAAAGCGCACGTCGACAGGTACGCGTTTATTGCGTCCGTCCATCGTTGTGCAATGCTCTTTTATTCGTCTTTCTCCCATTTTTTTTATTCATCGTAGAAAAACGATCCGCAAACCTACTCGATTACATAAGTTTATGGGCGCTCTCATTCAATAATACTCTACTTAGGGTAAAAGTACCTCGTTCTCGTTGCCTTTCGAATCGAATTTATAGCCCGTAACGAATTGCCGGTACATTACACGATTTGTTCTTGAAACTTTTCGACAACATTTTTCCACCGATCGAGAATCGAATCACGAATCGAATGAGTCACGAAAATTCGCGAATTTCACCGGTCGCTCGTGACGAAAGCATGGGTTACGCAAACGAAAGGTTAAAAATATATTCCAAAATGAAATAACCTTGAAATCGAAATTGATGACTTAAAATTCATCCGTATGAATATTAACGAGCCGACTAGCCTGATCGCCGCGAATATAATAATTAAGAGAAGAACGAATACGTAATTTTGAATATAAAGGTTTGATGCACTGAAAGATTTCGATGCAACCGGAAGTGATCTTGATGACCCGATCGGTTCCACGGTATTTCCTCGATCGGTTTTCTGTCGCTTGCACGCAAGCGCGTTCTTCGAGGGCGTGTGTTCGTACGTGGACGGTGAAAGTGGACGAGAGGCATTTGTCGAATCATTGTGCAGACGTTTCGCGGAAACCCAGGACTTCCCGGTCTTCCGATTATGCAACCGGACGGACCAGTTTTCGGCCGCTCGTGAAGGTGCACGAAATCGAAAGCGAAAGGGTTGCGATCGAATCGTATTTTTTTCTCGTCTCGGTCCATTGGAGAACGAACGAAGAAAAGAGCTACCCTTTAACCTGTCGTAGCCTCGGGCAACGAAAACCGAGCTGGCAATCGCAACTGACGAACGAGGCGTGACTCCTCGACCCTTTTCGTGATTCGAGAAACGTTTCGAGACCTTCTAGTCGGGCAAATGCAACGCTAGTAGATACCATCAACGAAATTGGTTAATTAACGATTCAAGGTAAAAATCTCGGAGCGCATATCGAGAATTAATGTCGGTTAATTAAGTTATATAAACGCGGATGAACCTTGTTCGTTTGCACGAATCGTTGACTCTTGAGTTTCTGCTCGCGAATGTGAAGATTTTCTGATAAATTTATCACCTGCAATCTTTTTGAGAAATTTGCGCGTTTGCCAGCAGAGAAATTTTGTAGGCTTTCTTTTTTGCCAGCGTGGAGAACGCGTGATCATTGGAATCCTAATCTGATATAGGGAGCTTCGAATCTCTCGTTACTCGGGGTTATTTTACAAACGTACTTGAATACAAGTTTTCACGAATTTATCATTCGATCGGTGGTTCGTCGATCATAATATTCGAGACGCATCGGTAGCGAGCGGGGAAGAGAGATAAGATCGGGACACGTTTAAGACGGGTCAAATAAAAGCATCGTGGCACGTTCGATGATGCAATGACTGTCTTTCGTGCTTGGCTTCCGCATCTTCGGGTTACGCAAGTGGGTGAACCAGTTTCTGGACAGACCACCTTTGTGTAATTATGCCCGGGCATAACTGTCCACGCAAGAACAATAACGTCTCTTGTCGTTCCTGCCGTGAAAGCTGTCATCCTACACGCTCTGACAATTCGTACGAAAGTTGTAACTTACCAGCATCACCTGAAAAATTTCACAAGGTGTTGTCAGTAATGTATATCTATAATGTTTTAAAATGAGATTTTTGAGTGGTATCAGATTTATGAAAGAATTATTAAGAGAAAGATTTTCTGTTACGTCGTGAAAAGACAGTGATTACACGGCGCAGATTCGCGACTCCTTTAGTTGCGCAACTCTGGTAAACCAATTCTGGGTTTGACCGTCAAACAACTTTTATCCGATGGTCGGGGTCCTGTGAGAGCCGTGAAAGTCGGAAATAATGGGTTCCCTCGCCGCAGGTTCTCTTTGTGGACGGCGAACGATAAAAAAAAGCGCCGGTGAATCGCTTCGCCTCTTGGTGAATGAGCCACCAAGCCTCCAATTCCCTTTTGTCTTTATAAAACTCTCGTTTGCTTTTTTTTTTATCGACCCTTAACTGGTAACACAGGGTCAATGATTTTGTTTTAATTACAAACACTTTCGAGTTAACGCATTGTTTTGGGATTTTGCACGATCGACCCAACGTCACTAGTTACGAAACGAAGTACGTCATTTTTGGGCCGTGTTGCAAATACCTTGGGCGAAACTTCGTTAAGAATTCGTTTATTTATTTCCTTATGCGTCTTACACAATACTAGAAAGATAAAAAATAGTGTTCGCGTATAGAACAAATGATTCGAAAGAGTAACACACGCGATCGATTGTATCGTATAAAATCGTACTAACGACAACGAAAGAATATTATGTATTTGTTTCTCATGAAAGTTTCAACGATGTCGAGCAATCGTAATAGATCAAGTTTGGCTTACAATTGAAATGCTTTTGCCAATTACCGAGAACACCGTCGAAACGAAATAATATTTCCAAACAAGATTATTCAGATTTCTTTGTGAAACTCGATTCGTTCGAAGGTTTGATACTCTTAACGCGATAAATGATAAACAAGTACTAATATTTACACAATGGACGAGGCACTTTCTATTGTTCTGTCATTTATTCAGAACACCTTACAATTAATGGAGAATTGAAAGGAAGACGGTCGAAATTTATGACTTTACAAATTAAAAAAAAATTATTTTCAAGTAAAATACCTGAAAAGGTCACGAGTCTAATTACCAATCTAATAATAATTTTCAATCATCCCCTTTTCCCATTTTCCTTCGGCGCAATGCTCGACCTAATAGCAGGGCGCAGAACGATTCACGCGTTGGTACGCGAGCTAGTTGCTTAATTACGTGCTGTGTAATTACTTCATTAACCGTTAAATTAATAATGAATACTTACAAGAAAACACGTGGCACGAGTGCAAACTCATCTGTGTCATCGAAATCCGATGCGTTTCACCTGTGCAACAACTTTATTACACCTGCAGAATATCTGTAAGATATCTTGGCATGTTTGGTCATTTATTTGGTCTGTTCAGCTCGAGATGATCGAAGAATATCGATCGTCTCTTGATGAGAGAAAGGGAAAGTGTTTTCAAACGCTTCAGGCAATCGAGTGCCCTATTCGCGTTTAATTCAAGATTCTAGATTAAATTCTCCTAACGAAGCATCGAAATCGTTAGGAGAATCGCAATGATTCCTTGGAGAATCATCGTCGTTCTAGTTGGAACAGCTGCGTTGTAAAATCCGCTTCCATAGACCTGCAGACCAGCTGTTTCGATGCTTCGTT